CGGGAGGGAGCGGCCGGGCCGGGCCGAGGCTTGCCGGAGTCCCGCCGTGGTCCGGCGCGCTGTGGTGGCCGGGAGAAGCCGTCCTGGGCCACAGGTCGAATCGGGAGGAGAGGCCGCAGGGCCGCTTTCCCGGGGACCACAGCCATGGGCGCCCCTTTGATGGCGAGGGGAGAAGCTGGGGAGTACTGGATGGGTCCTGTGGACGGCGTGCGGAGGCCGCGGCTCTGCTGCTGCGGCTTCCCATGAGCCCCCTGTGCCCACCCCGGGAGGGAGGTCAGAGCGCCCCATGTGCTTAACCGGGAACAGGAAGGAGTGGCTGAGTGTCATTCCTGGCCCCAAAGGGCTAAGATTCCTATACCGTTATGGAGTGTGCGAGGCAGGCTTTAGGAGTAGCTGGTGAAACTGGCTTTCTGGGCGGTAACTTGCTGACTACTTGCCCAGAGGCCCTTTGGCTTGTTGGGTAACTGCAGGTTTCTAAGCTTGAGATTCGTTCCTGCATTGAAACCTGGTCTGTTATCTCAGTTGCCAGCCTCAGTAGTCTATAGAGGTTCTAAAGATCTGAGGTATGGAGCGAGCTGGTCTTTCCAGAGAACTGAGCTAGGGAAGGCCTCCACCGGTCCATTCCAGAGCCCAGGTGTCTCTGCCTGATTGCAATTGGTTAACCTTACTTCCGAGGAGCTCTTAAGGGTAAGGGTTTGTCTGCAGCCCTGCCTGATATGTCCTGGTCCTGACCATACAGTGTTTCTCTGTTTTCCAAAGTGTGTGTGTATGGCTTGGTCCTTGTCTCCATTGGTACCCCACACCCCTCTCTCCTCACTGGCCTCTGGCCAGATTTTGCTCTGGGAAGAAGGGTCTTTTTCTCTTGCCACTGGCCATAGGCTGGCTGATCCTGTACTGTGTGCCCTTCAACACCACCTCATCGACAGCTGCTGCTTCAACCCCTAAAACCCCTGTCCCTGGAGGCTGTATTCTTCAGTGTTTGGGTGGGTATGTGGGGGTTGGTCAAATATACAAGGTAAACTGTAGACCAGGGTTCTTTCTACTTTCCATCCTAATCATTCCTAGAATCTGACCCAAATTTTTGGACTGTGCTGCTGTCCGAAGCAGTGACACACCTCTTGATTTATTCTAATGCTTGTAGCATTCTTGAAGTTCATGACCAGTTACAGTTACGTCAAAAGAAAGCTTTCAGTGAGGAAGACTCTTCAGGACTCCTTTTTGGTAGTTTCTCAGACGAGTGGAAGCTGGCAGTCCATGAGACCTTCTCTCTTTCATTCTCTCAGCCCATGGCCTCTTTATGTTTCCTCCAAACTCTGAGCCACTAGGACTGTTGAGTCTGTGAGAAGTTTTTCCTCCCAGCTGAACTTCTACCTTTCCAACCTTTTGGGTCTACAAATTCCCGTGAGGCATCACTTTCCCATTACTTTTCATCCACTAGAGAGGGTCTTGGTGTGGGGGATCAGAGTTGGAGCAAAGGTTGGAGCTGGGCAGTGCCCTGCTCAAGTTGCTAGTAATACAATGCTTGTGAAATCCCTGCTCTACTGGCCCCCCTCAAGCTTATGCCTCAGAAAAGTGGCATCTGTCTCTGGGCAGGTGTAAGAGAGACAGACAGACAAAAAATGAACACATATTCATGTGTGCAGGTGGTATAATTTCTGTGAGTGGAAAAGTTATAGGTGTAATCAAGACTCTGGCCTTAGGGCTGAGGGTGATGAACAGGTGGGATCACCTGTCTATCCTGTGTGCACATCACCTTTTCTTGTCCTGATCTTTTGTTTATGGGATGCCTTGTTTGTCTTGGTGTGCTGGTGTGGTGCCAAGAAGCCACCAGGGCTGCAGCAGGGAGCGGACTCGTTCTGTGGGTATGTGTAAGAGAGTGGCTGGAAACCCTAGTCCCTTCCCCTCCTGTTGAGTCAGAAGTCCTGACCCTGCTGAATGTGGTATTTCTCTCTACTGGGCCTGGGTAGTGCTTCTCTGCCAATGGAAGTCCAGAACAGCAGGGGAGGGCTGTGGTCACAGAAAGCCTTAAACCCAGTGTGAGAGTCCTCATTAATCCCCACCTCCCTCTATCACATGCCTGTCTTCTTACTCTTCAATGCGTGGAGTCCAAGAGCGCTGGGCTGACTGCCTTGTTCTGGGGTTGAGATAGGAGACCTGCTGAAGTGCTTCCCTCAGCCATTCTGTGATACAGACTAGGGCTCCCTTCATTCTGTGACACCGACTAGGGCTCCCTCCAAAGCTCCTCACCTTTTTTGCTGGGGTAATAAAGGCACTAGACATTCCTGTGCCGGCAGGAGTCCAGGAGAGGCTCCACCTACTCTTTAGGCTCTTGGCTAGCCCTCTGAGCCCTTAACCCTCAAAATGCTCTAACAAGAGACACATCCCACTGATGGGATGGGGTGGGGTGGGATGGCCCAAAGTTTAGAACTGTCTGCTCCCTTGGTTTTAGGTCTCATTGGAGGAAAAGTTGGGCCACAAGAGATATAGTCAGATGATAGGGTCAGCTATTGCTCCTCATCTCCTATCAGGTTAAACACAAATGGGTGAGGAGGAAGAGGGGGAGGTGTCCTGCATTGCCTTCTCTGTCTTCAGTTTTTTTTTAACCTCTTTCCTTTCTCTATTCAATTTTCTACTTTTCTTTAGGAAGAATATGTGTTTGTGAGGGGGAAAATCCACTGTGGGAAGTTACTCAATTTTGTTCCGTTTGAGAGGCTTCCTTTTCTTTTAATGAATTAAATATTTATTCTGGCTAAGGTGGAGAGGCAGGGGCAGTGCTGGCTGTGCTGAGGCCTGGAATGTGTGACTAGAGGCTGGAGGGGGAAGGTGGAGCTTGAAGGTCCTTTATTGTCAGTGCTGACTACTGATTTCATCCAAAAGAGCAATGACCAGGAGTGGGGACGAGGGTAAAGTCCTTGAACTGGAATACTGACTGACCCCGTGACAGGCTGAGAAGGATTTCCCAAGTGCTTCTGTGGTGAGGAGGTGGAGCTGTTGAAAGGGCCAAGCACCCTAGGACCAGCCTAACTCAGCTGTGGGCTGAGGTTCCGCCTCCTCCAGCAGCTCCAGTTGGCATCCAGTGCCTGGTGCCTCTGTTCTCAGTGGCCAGCAAGCTACTGCTCTCTCTCCTGTCTCCCTGGGAGGAGACTACCTTTCTGTTGATGTACCTTCTTGTCTAGGTCAGTCTGAATGCTGCCGCCTCCACTCTGCCATCCCCCAGGAGGAGAGTTGAGAGGTGGGGAGCCCGGAGGATTTCCTTGGCTCTCCTGTTCATCAAGTTTTAGAACTGCAGGTGTTATGCTGGACCAGTGATCCTTCAGGGCCACCTGGCTGCTTCTCAGCTCATAGAAGCTGCTGTCGCCTCATGAGCTACAGATCATTCATTCCCTCCCTCTTTGGGTCCAAGTGGTCAGTGCCATTCTATTATCTTGCAGTGGAGGAAAGGTGAAAGGCAGAAGTTCTTTTCCTGGGCTGAGGGTGTTGGTTTCCTTGTAGATAGGTATTTTACGTTCTGGATGAGCCTTTATAAGAAATATGGAGTTCCAGGGTAACCAGGGGCTACACATTGAGACCGTCTCAAAAAAAAAAAAAAGCTATGTTATGCATGATGATGAGCTTATAGTTTTAGCACTTGGGCTGCTAAGGTAGTAGGATTGTGAGTTTGACACCAATCTGGGCTACATAAGTGAGACCCTGTCTCAAAAAAGCGAAGAAATAGCTGTACTAGATGTCTGCTGTCTAGATTCCCTGACCCCAGTCCTGACTGTATCTAAGGCTTCAATTTCTTTTTTTTTTATTATTATTTTTATTTTATGTGTATGCATGTATTGCCTGCATGTAGGTAAGTGCACTTGTGTCCTGCAATGCCCAAGGTCAGAAGAGGCTATTGGATCCCCTGGGACAGTTGTTAGCTGCCATGTGGGTTCTGGGATTCGAACACAGGTCTGCTGCAAGAACGGTCAGTGTTCTTAACCACTGAGCCATCTCTCCAGCCCCACTTCCTTCTGAGCAGAGGCTTATAGACTATGTTCTGCCTCACATGCAAGGACTGAGTGGCTTCGCATGGAGTGTCAGTCTTGTGTACAGTTGTTGGCTGCTCACTGACTGTTTTAGAGTTCAGCATCTTTGGGGACATGTGTTTCATTTTCTCCTGTGGATCTGCTAGCCAGTTGGGAAGAAGGTTTGCCTTGTCTGGTTTTGGGCTTATTACCTGCCTCCTGCCCCAAAGAAGCTTCTAGTTATGGGCCGGCTTTCCTGATTGTTGATCATAGCTTTTTTTTTTTTTTTTTTTTTTTTTTTTTTGGTCTTTTTGAGACAGGATCACCCTGTAGCCCCAGCTGGCCTGGAACTCACATATAGACCAGGCTGGCCTCAAACTCACTAAGATCTGCCTGCCTCTGCCTCCCAAGTGCTGGGATTAAAGGTGCAACCCTGGTTTGATCATAGCTTCTTAGTTCTGGTCTTGCTTGTCCTGCAAATTGAGATCTAAAAGGTAAGACTGATAAGAAATCAGGAGTGTGGCTGGGTGTGTTGGCCCATGCCTTTAATCCCAGCTCTTGGGAGGCAGAGGCAGGCAGATCTTTGTGAGTTAGAGGCCAGCCTGGTGAGTTCCAGGCCAGCTGGGGCTACAGGGAGACCCCGTCTCAAAAAGACAAAAAAAAGCAAGCTTTTTTTATTACAGGCAGTCAGGTCTGTGTGGTGTCAGCATTATCTAAGGTTGCTTTAAACTGTAAATGTTGAAACTGGAAAGCCACTGTATTTTGTATTACAGACAAGGGAACCACTCCTTCCAAGGCCATGTAGCCAGAACCAGAAGCCAAGGCTTGAGTCACTGGCCATTCTTTTTGATGTACCAAGAAAGCTTTCATTTTTGTCTTCCCTGCAGAGCTTTTCCACTTGACAGTCTCTTAACTTTCCCCTCCTCACTCAGGATGCTCCAGACCTTGTACGATTACTTCTGGTGGGACCGGCTGTGGCTGCCTGTGAACTTAACCTGGGCTGATCTAGAAGACCGAGATGGACGTGTCTATGCCAAAGCCTCAGACCTCTATATCACACTACCCCTGGCCTTGCTTTTTCTCATCATCCGATACTTCTTTGAACTGTGAGCATATCGTCACACCTTCAGTTGCCAGCTAGTCTATTGAATATGTTGGTCTCTTGATGTTCCAGTCCTGGACCCTGTTCTGGTTACCCAGGTCCCTGCCCACTATCTTTCTCCCCCAGGGCACCATTGTCTTCCTGAGGGCTCAGCACCCCCACGTTCTTCAATGGTTATTTGTTCTCTTCCTCCACCCGCCTCCTCTCCTGGCCACTAGTGAACATAGCAGCTTTGTCAGCTATGGGTAGCTCAGGAGGCTAAAGGAAAGGGGGTTACCAGAAAACTTGGGAAACTGAGGCCCAGAATTTGCCTGGGCCTTCTCCTCCCAGCTTAAAGGTTGGGAGTGCTCCAAACAAGCCAGACACTTCTCATGTCCCTTCCCCAGTTATGTGGCTATGCCACTGGCTGCCCTCCTGAACGTTAAGGAGAAGACTCGGCTGAGGGCACCCCCCAATGCCACCTTGGAGCACTTCTACCTGACCAGTGGCAAGCAGCCCAAGCAGGTATGAGCTGCAGACATGGCTCTGGGAGTTGTTTTGTGGGCCAGTTCTAGCCCTGGAGGGTAAAGGCATGGCAGTGGGCTGACTTGGGTTGTTATTGGGAGAGTTGGGGTGCTGCTGATCTTGAAATGGAATGACTCCATTATACCTAGGTGGAGGTAGAGCTTTTGTCTCGGCAGAGTGGGCTCTCCAGCCGCCAGGTAGAACGCTGGTTCCGCCGTCGCCGCAACCAGGATCGGCCCAGTCTTCTCAAGAAGTTCCGAGAAGCCAGGTTGGGGACATTGGGGCAATGAAACTGGGTTGTACAGTTCTGATGTGTCTTGCTGGGAGGGCAAGGTTGTGTGTAGAAGAATGTGAACTTAGTTATTGATGGTGCCCCAAGGGTACCTGGGGAGCTGCTGGAGGCTGTCCTCGCACCTAGCCTGCTCTGGTTCCTTTTGCAGCTGGAGATTCACGTTCTACTTGGTTGCCTTTGTTGCCGGCATGGCTGTCATTGTGGATGTGAGTGGGCATTGCTGGGAAGTGGGAGGACAAGCTCTGGTAAGGTGGGATAGGGCCACAGAATTTGGTCTTTCCTCCTTTCTTTTTCTCTCTGCAGAAACCTTGGTTCTATGACATGAGGAAAGTTTGGGAGGGATACCCCATACAGGTATGAAAAGAACCCCAAAACACAGAATACCAGGTTTCTTTCTTTGAATACAAGGCAGAGGTATTAGTCATGGAACTAAGAATCACTTGAGGGGGTAGAAGGGCTGAGTTTGGAAAGGTGAGCCCCCTTAGAACTAGTTGTTCTGGGGTCCCTTACCCCTCTTTCCTCTCCCAGAGCATCATCCCTTCTCAGTATTGGTACTACATGATTGAACTTTCCTTCTACTGGTCTCTGCTCTTCAGCATTGCCTCTGATGTCAAGAGAAAGGTAGGTGAAGAGTCTGTGCAATTAAGCCCAAGTACCAAACAAGGCCCTGGGATGAACCACCTTTCCTTTGTCTTCTGGGAGCCCAGGACAGAGCTGCTGGGATATAGGGCACAAAAGTGAAGGAGAGAAAAAGGAGCAGTGGGGAAACAGGGAAGAGTCCCTTGGAGCCGCATCTTTTCTGCAGGATTTTAAGGAACAGATCATCCACCATGTGGCCACCATCATTCTCCTCAGCTTCTCCTGGTTTGCCAATTACGTCCGAGCAGGAACCCTCATCATGGCTCTGCATGACTCTTCTGATTACCTTTTGGAGGTTAGGCTTCCCCCCCCTTTTTTTTTTGGCAGGTGGTGGTGGGGATATGAGTGGGCAATTGGCATTCATGGTACCACAGTGGGAAGGCAGTCAGTACTGGTAACTAGATGTGCAGATTATCTATATGGGAGAGTCAGGAGCCCATGATGACAGATGGGGCCATTTATGTAGTCAGCCAAGATGTTTAACTACGCTGGATGGAAAAACACCTGCAACAACATCTTCATCATCTTCGCCATTGTTTTCATCATTACCCGACTGGTCATCCTGCCCTTCTGGTGAGTAGGTGGCCAAACTACCCTCCCATCCTGATCTTGCCTTTGTCTCATTTACCATCATCTCTCACCCCAGGGTCTGTGTTTACAACTTCCCACTTGACTCCTCAGGATCCTGCACTGCACCCTGGTGTACCCACTGGAGCTCTACCCTGCCTTCTTTGGCTATTACTTCTTCAATTGCATGATGGCAGTGCTGCAGATGCTGCATATCTTCTGGGCCTACCTCATTTTACGCATGGCCCACAAGTTCATAACTGGAAAGGTGAAGGCTCTGCCTCCCTCCCTTTTGTAGGCCTCCCTATTCTTAACCCTAAGACTCCCCACAACTTTTTGTTGTGCCAGCAACCCTTAAAACAATTATGAGGCCCTGGGGATAGTATGAACACACACTTGAAGAAAGGCAGCTCTTGGGAATTTGAGGAAACAACTATTCTATCCTTTCTTCACAGCTGGTAGAAGATGAACGCAGTGATCGAGAAGAAACTGAGAGCTCAGAGGGGGAGGAGGCTGCAACTGGGGGAGGAGCAAAGAGCCGACCCCTAGCCAATGGCTACCCCATCCTCAATAACAATCATCGTAAGAATGACTGAACCATTGTTCTAGCTGCCTCCCACATTAATACACAAAGCCTAGAAACTAGCCAACCTTCCCTTTAGGGTCATTTTGAGCTCTGGGAAGAAAAGATAGAGAATCTACATTCTCTCTCCTTATTTGTCACCCAGTTTCTCTTAAAACAAACTCTAACCAGCCTATTCCTAGGTAGAGAGGAGGTTGGTTATATCCTCTTAGAGGGGGGATGATCTTATTTTCCCCTCTATCCTCCAAGCTACTCTATTAACTGAGACCCTTTCTCAGCTCTGAGGGTAGGGTTATAACTCACATTCCTTATTCTTAAGAATTTGGACCTAGCTGTTTGCCTTTGACTCCCTGACCTCAAGCCAGGGTTGTGCCTTACTGCCCCATCTCTGGGCCTCATTCTGCCAAAGCTGGACCAAGGTTCCACCTTCCTAAGCTCCCTAGCTCAGGCCAAACAACAAAATCTGAGCTACTTTTAACTTTTTCTCCTCCTAAGATACAGATGAATTGTGTGTAGGAGGATGTACTTACCCAACCTCTGCCAACAAGTGGGGACTATTCTAGGACCACTCAGCTGTCCCTAAAGCCACAGTTCCAAGATCTTACTGCCTTTCTCTGGCCTCTTCCCCTTTCCTTTTCAGCTAGACTAGCTGGTTTGGAATAGAATGGCAACTAGTTCTAATTTTTATTTATTAAACATTTGGGGTTTCAGTTGTAAAGCCAGAATTACAGCTAATACCTGGCATTTTGGTGAGGGACCATTTCAGACCAAAATGTATTGTTAATGGTTTTTTTTTTTTAATTAAAATATATTAAAGCTTAAATAAAACATGACAGTGTGTCAAACTATTAAATGAGAAAGAGTATCAACTAAATTAAGGTAGTCTTATGCCTTCCTTGTGGTTATGTAACATTTTCTGTTAAAATTTGCACATGACAAAATAGACGGTGCAATATAAACAATAGCTGCCCACTGGGGAATGGGAGCAGATCTCCCACTGAAAAAAAGAAAAGATGGAGTAAAGGGACAGAGGAGAGAAAACAAATCACAGTCGCCATATTATCATCTTGTTAAAAGCCTTCCAAGAAACCGTACAAACCAGGACGGTAGATACACAGCCCATGTTCCAGGAATAACAAGTGTGAGAGTCATGAACTAATATGGGGTAGGAAAGACCGCAGGCCTAGGTTAGAGTGGTAATCTCTACCCACCCTAGTGCCCTAGAAAGTCCACAAGGGACACTGCCTGCTAGCACCACACTGGAAGAGCTCTCCTGATCAGCACCCCCATATCTACTAGGAGCTGAGGAGTAGCTAGACCAGAGACTTGGGTGTCAGAGTTCAACAGTCAGGAAGACCCAGTTCCTGAAGGGGATAGTTCAAGGGTTCTGAAGTGAGGAAGGGATTCCTCTAAAGAAGACGCCCTCTGCACTCGATGGCCCCACAACAGCACAGCAGCTCTTTGCCTTCCACACTGCCCACTTCGTAGTTGTAGTCCCAAGTAAGTTCTGTTCCAGCCCGGATCCTCCTAAATAGGAAAAATGATGGGGTGTGGTAAAAAGAGCAGGTGACACAGGTATTTGGGGTTAGAGTGTATAGGTGAGGCTCGACTAACAGGAAGGAGGCCCCCTTAGAATTTCAATGGAACTTGCCCCTCCCAAATTATCCCTCTTACTTGCTGGCGAAGAAGGCCACCCAGGGGAAGCGAAGATCATGGGTATCCACAAAGACATTCTGGACAAACAGGTTGGGGCTGCAACTATGCTGTAAGTTTAAAGATAGCCGTTAACTTAGAATCAGGGAAACAATTTGGCTTTGCCTGGAGAGTTGGAAAATGGTATCTGACCCTCAACCCGTCATGCATTGAAGTAGAGATTTTTTTTTTTTTTTGAAAGCTATCTCTGGGGCTGGAGAGATGGCTCAGTGGTTAAGAGCACTGACTGCTCTAGCAGAGAACCTGGGTTCGATTCCCAGCACCCACATGGCGGCTACAAACCGTCCTTAACTCCAGGTCCAGGGGAATCTGAAGTCCTCTTCTGACCTCCACGACATTGCATGACACAGGTGCACACACATACATGCAGGCAATACACTCATAAAATAATAAAAATATTAAAAAAAAAAAGCTACCTCTTTAAAGATATTTTGAAATCAACCTACAAGAAAATGTAGGTTTAGAGTATGCTAAAGCTAGAAATCTGAGGATGGGATAATCCTGCATTAGTCGGGGAGTGTCTCACATTGAGGTAGCGGCCTAAGTTGCCTTCAAGCTTGGCATCAATGATGTAGCATGACTCTTCACCATCATAGAATTGGCGTGTGTTCTTGCGAATTGGTGCACTCTCTCCCTTGTCCACGGAAGCCATGTTGGTTGATTTAATGGCAATCCCATGGGTTGATTTAAGAGCAAAGCCTCGGGTTGATTTTACTGCCACCTGGCGCTTCATTGGACCTGGAAAGCAAGAAGAATGAGATTAGGACTCATTCCAACTCATGATGGACATTCTGCCTCCTTCACTTTAGCCCAAGCTGGCCTCAAGCTTGTGATACTCCTGCCTTATTCTCCCAGGTGCTTGGACTACAGGTGTGTACACCACACTCAGTTTCTATTCCCATTTTTATTATACCCATTCCAGTTCAGGAATACCAAACAGGTACCAGGTGAAGACTCAAAGTCACCTTTTGTGAGACAGGGTCTCATGTAGCTCAGACTGGCTTTCCTGATACATATTTTATCTTATTTTATAACTCATGATCCTCCTGCCTCAACATCTTTGGTGCTAGGATAGGATGGGTATAGGCCACCATGCTCAGCTTTTTTTAAAAAAATTTATTTTTATTTTATGTGCATGAGTATATTGCCTGCTTGTGAGTGTACCCTTGTCGTGCAATGCCATGGAGGTCAGAAGAGGGCTTCAGATTCCTCTGGAACTGGGGTTAAGGACGGTTCATAGCCAACATGTAGGTGCTAGGAACCTGGGTCCTCTGCAAGAGCAGTCAGTGCTCTTAACCACTGAGTCATCTCTCCAGCCCCCATGCTCAGTTTTTTAGTCACACATTTTTGTTTGTTTGTTTGAGACAGGGTCTCCCTGTAGCCACAGCTGGTCTGGAAATTCACTATGTAGACCAGGCTGGCCTTGAACTCACAAAGATCCACCTGCCTTTGCCTCCCAAGTGTTGGGATTAAAGGCATGTGCCACTATGCCTGGCTCATTCACACTTTTTACAAAGCAGGATTAGATATGCTGAGGGGAAGGAAGGGTACTGGAGAGAGAGGAAGGGTACAAGTCCGTGTAAGTTTAGCTGAGTCAGAAATTATTAAGTTAAAAAAAAAATCGCTTTCCCTACTTTGCTAATATTTCTTCCTACTGCTCCCCAAACTAGAGTACCAGACAAGTTCTTCTTGTCCTCAAAGTCATCGCCTTCAGAGCCAGAAGAGATGGTCTGGATATCATCACTGTCAACTGCTGTGGCTGAAGTCTGACCAGCAGTAGGCTTTCGGCTGGTTCCACTTTCCCCCTCACTTTCTGTGCTGCTGGACAGTGTCAGGACATCCTGGGGCAACAGAAGGGTGGGAAGGAAGAGCTCATGGGAAGGCTGCTTCAAATGCTTGCTTTTACCTTTGATTTGGGTGAGGATATAGCAAGATTAGATGTTGGATAAAAGATAACAAGGCTGGGCTGGAGAGATGGCTCAGCAGCCTCTTGCAGAGGACCCGGGTTCGATTCCCAGCACCCACATGGCGGCTACAAACTGTCCTTAACTCCAGTTCCAGGGGAATCTGATGCCCTCTTTTGACCTCCACAGCATTGCACGACATGGGTGCACTCACATACATGCAGGCAATACACTCAAATATAAAATAAAAATATTAGAAAAATAAAAAGATAACCAAGGCAGAAAATCAATGCCAGAGAAGCACAAAGAACCTTAAGAGTAATTTTAGTTAAGGACTTGATAAGGTGGGACTGCTACATGTTTCTTTACTTGGCCTACAAATAAAATAGAAGGCAGGGTAAGCTCAAGGAGGCCACTTACATCAGGGTTTGACTGGGCAGAAGACACCAGTCTCCGGCTCTGGTGCATAGAAGTTTTACTAGGTGGGCGGCGAAGCCCTTCAGGCTTCATGGGAGAAGGATTGTATCCATAATTACGAGCGCTTTCAGTAACTCTGATGGGAGGGGAAAGAAATGAGAGCAGTCAGTGATTCAGGTTACTGGCTGTCCTAGGCTTTTTTTTGGTCTTTTTGAGACAGGGTCTCCCTGTAGCTCCAGCTGCCTGGAACTCACTCTGTTGACCAGGCTGGTCTTGAACTCACAGAGGATCCACCTGCCCTTGCCTCCAGAGTGCTGGGATTAAAGGCGTGTGCCATCACGCTGGGCCCTAGGCTTCTTTTCATAAGCAGATTTAGAAACAGTCTAAAAGCAATCACTTACACTGATATCTTGTTTCGGTCATCAGGGTCCTGGAAAAGAGCAAGGCAAGTGTTAGATACTTTCATGGTCAAGGTAACAAGTCCAACAATTAGATTTTATTTCAACGAATCTCTAAAAAGCCTGGCATGGTGGCATATGTCTTTGATCCCAATACTCAGGAAGCAGAGGCTAGCCTCTGAAGACATTAACATAAGCCAGTGAGACGTATACTATGTAAAGTGGGGTGGTGTGAGGAAATCCCTAGGCAGCCTGATAATAACAATCATTCTCATTCAAGCTCCACTGAGAAGGGCCCTTAACCTCATTGGGACACAGGAAAAGAACACTGTGTGAGTTCAAGACAGCTTAACCAAGTGTTGGGGAGTGTTTCAAGATCAAAGATATACTCGATTAAGTTCCAGGACAACCTGGGTTGTATAATTTGGTATAATATTGGGTATTTCAAAAAACAAAACAGACTCCCCCCCCCCCCCCAAAAAAAAACCAACAGGCATCGTGGTACACACCTTTAATCCCAGAACTCTGTGGGCAGAGGCAGGTGGCTCTTGGAGATTGAGGCCAGCCTGGTCTACATAGTGAGTTCCAGGCAGCTAGGGCTGAAATGTAGCCAGTTTCTGGGCTAAAAGTCAAAATGTCCTTGGGCCTGTTAGCAACACTCTGTTCCAAAGGCCAAAAAATGTCAAAATGTCCAAAGTATTTGGGAGCTTGTCTCTAATCCTTAAAAGATTTTAGGGTTACCTGTTGGAGGGGAGGGAGTGAGCATGGATTTGACCAAAACACCTTATATACATGTATGATATTATCAATAAAGTTTTTGTAAAAGTTAAAAAACACCCAAATGAAAACAAAAACAGCAATGAAAAAAACCATACTGTATACTTGAAATCAATTTTTACTTTGTTTTTGGGGAGGGGGGTCTTGAAGCCTTGTGTTGCATAGCTGACCTCAACTTCCCTAATAGCTGGGACTATAGGCACATAAACCTGCCCATCTTTGAAATCAATTATTTCTCTACATTAGCAGAAGCAAACAATAATGCAGACAATTTGAAATACCACTAAAAAAAAAATCACTTGTAAATCTTTCTCATTCTTTTTTGTTGTATGTTTTGAGACAGTCTCACTATGTAGCACAGGCTGGCCTTGAACTCTCAGGGCTCCTCCTGTCTCTGACTCCTAAGTGCTGGGATTAAAGGTGTACACCACCACACCTGGGCTGTTTTTTTTTTTTTGATTTTCTTTTTAAGACAGGGTCTTACCACCTAGGTAGCCCAAGCCAGCCTTGAACTTCAGGAAATATTCCTGATTCATTTTGGGTTTATAGGCCTGTACCACATGCCCCATTAGCACCAAAGTAAAAAGCCATTGCTCCCAACACAGGCCTACTCTCTGACTCTTGTCAGGTGATACTTTGTTTTGCCTCAGGACTCCGCTGGCCAAGATTGCTGTAACCAGATGCAGCATTGCATCTCTAGAACCAGGAGTTAAGCCACTTTTTACCTCTTTCTTGGACTGCTTTATGTCACCTTCATCCTTGATGCTCAATCCTGAGGTGGAGGCTTTCTCAGTCTCCCCTCGACCTCCCCCTGCCCGGCCATCTCCACCTTCACTAGTCTTGAATGAAGATCGGCTGTCAGAGTCAGCAAAACCACCTTCACTGACACTATTGCAGCTCAGCCATGAGGCCACCTTGTTCTTGGGTGTCTCTTCAGAGGAAGGTGGATTGCAGCCTCCTACAGGGATGGAGGGAGGGATATGTGGGGGCCCAAGGTCTGGGGGGCGCGAGTCCTTGGAAGCCACCTCGGACAGTCCACTCTCCTTCTGACCCCGGGTCTGGCGCCGGGTGGCATAGCTGCGCCACACTGAGCTAGTGCTAAAGTCCTCATCCTTACAGAAGTTGTCATCTGAGCTGTCATCATTAGATTCTTCAGGGTCCTCTGAACCACTGTTGCCATCTTCCTGGTCCTTCAGGTCTACTCCACTGCTGTCAGAGGAAGTGGCGACATCACTCTCATATCCTTCCTTGAAGTTTTCCACACTCTCAATGTGGTCTAGATTTGCAAAGTACTCATCCCCCATCTCCAGGCCTTCCTTGTCTGCAAAGTCATCTGTCAGGATTTTTCCTGAGATCGAAGAGAATGAAAGGTTTTCTGGTGTTATGAGGACATTCCAGAGCTGGGGCCATTTCCTCAGTCCCCCAGCACTAGCAGAGTCCGTTGCTGCATTATGACGACTCCCTTCTTTGTTGGTATTACCTCTTGGTCTTAACTGGGAGCATGCACACACTTCTACAGTGGGTAATTCTGCCCTTTCAGCTTTCAGTTTTTTGTTTGAGAGCGCCTAGCCAAGCTAGATCTCTGAGTGGAGCATATAGGAGGAAACAATACAATGGGTTCTGAAGGCTGCCTCGCTACTCACAGAACCAATAGTGGCCACATGAGACCCCCTTCACTTCTTAGGGAGCACCTTTGTCCCTTTTGGTCCACAAACAGGTGTAATCACACCCTTTACAAAAAAAAATTCTGATTCCTCTTGTCAGTTCAAATGTCAAAAACTTTTAGTTTTTTTGTACTACTAGGGGCTAAATCCTGAGTCTCCTGAGTACTAAGCATGAATTCTACTCCTGAGCTTCACCTCCATGCCTCAAATACCTTATTTATTAAAAAACAACAAGCTGGGCATGGTGGCACACACCTTTAATCCCACACTTGGGAGGCAGAAGCAGGCAGATCTTTGTGAGTTCAAGGACAGCCTGGTCTACATAGTGAGTTCAAGGATAGCTGGGGCTACAAGGAGACACTGTCTCAAAAAAAGACAAAAAACAAAAAAACCCAACAACAACCTTATTTATTTTATTCTTTTTTGATCTTTTTGAGACAGGGTCTCTATGTAGCCCCAGCTGGCCTGGCACTCTCTATGTAGGCCAGAGTGGCACTGATCTCATAGAGATCCACCTGCCTCTGCTTCCTGAGTGCTGGGACCAAAGGCATGCACCACCATGTCAGCACTATTCTTAAATACTTTTTGAGGTAAGGTCTAGATATATAGCCCAGACTTGTCTCCTATTCTGGAATTTCCTGCCTTCACCTTCTGAGTACTTGGGATTACAGGTATGTGCTACCATGCTGACCAGTTCTTCATTATGTTCAGCTTGTCTCTGGCTGAACCATGTCCCAACCCCATAGGGCAACCTATATAGATGATCACCAACCTGCATAAATACAGACAAAAGAGCCTTTGGCGATGTCATCCAAGCAGCGAATACCCCAGCCCTTGTTCTGCGTCTTAAACAGCTGCAGTCGAACCTGTAGTCCATGCTGTACCAACCGATTTGTGCACATGTTTGGGTCACATTTGCAGCGTTTGTTACACTCATAAACCCTGGGAGGTTAGAATAAAATCAGCAACACAATCATTAGGAATCTGCAAACCGTGTCATGGATAAAAATTACAAGTTAGGTGATGCCTGAGTGCCTGGATATATGGAATATATATATCTATGCTCTGACTCATTTGGAAATAAAGACCAAGGAGTGACTCAGAGGAAGAAAAAGTGGTGGGAGAAAAGCTAAGCAAACAAGGATGTAAATACAGACTGCAGACAATTTATAAAAATGGTCTCAGTGGGTAAAAGCACTTGCTGCCAAGTCTGATAACCTGAGCTCAGTCCCTGGAGCCCATATGGTGAAAGCAGAGAACCAACTCCTGGAAAGCTGCCTTCTGACCTCCATACACAAGCCCACATAAGCAAGTAAATAAGTAAAAAAATTAAATCTAGAAATAGGTACAGAAGATCAGCAGAAGCCAGTCTTACATATATTGAAAGGAAACAGAGTAAAGGAGTGAAGACACCTGACATTGATCTCTGGCTTCTACAGATGTGTGCCCATACACATGAATACATACACACAACAACAAAACCAAAAGAGGGTAGAGGATATAGCTCAGCCTAGCATGCAGGAGGCCCTTAGATTCCCAGCACTACATAAACCGGGTGTGGGTGGCATATTCCTGTAATTCCAGTATCTGGGAGGCAGAGGTAGGATTATCAGAAGTTGGCTACGCAGAGTTCAAGGACAGCCTGGGGTATCTGAGACCCTGTCTCAAAAAACAAAAACAAACAAATGAATTCATTTTTTCTGTTTTTAATTTTAAAAAGGATTTTTTTTTTTTTTTTTTTTTTGTGGTACCGGGAATCAAGCCCAGGTCTTTCCCGTGAGGCAAAGGCACACACCTTTAATCCCAGCACTCAGGAGGCAGAGGCAGGCAGATCTCTGTGAGTTCACTATGGTCTCCATAGTGAATCCAGGCCAGCTTGGGGCTACAGAGAGACCCTGTCTCAAAAAGACCAAAAAAAAAAAAAAAAAAAAAAAGGTTACTGAGGGATTAAGCGTGATACAGAGAGGAAAATATAGAGGACTATAGTTCAAGGTATTTTCAGGAACCAAGTATGTCATATCTCAGAATACCACATGAGGAAACAACTTTTCAAGGTCCCTTAAAAGCCTACTGGGAATTGGGGGGAGGAGCTATTCATGTAAATGGTCTCTGTTCACAGCTGATGAAACAACAAAGCTGTAAGGGGCACAGCCAGAATTAAAATTCAGGTTTATTACCAACATATGAAACGTTTACAAAGTGGCTAATACTCAGTATCATTCACTCTGCAAAATTTCTTTCAGTGGCTACTACAGTATTATGTACCAAAGTACTGTATTGTTAGCTGTTTGGTGACATAATGTGTGTGGCAGACAAAGAGACAGACTACGTCCCTACTCCTCATGGAGCTTACATTTGAATGGGAAAAACAGCAAAACTGAGTCTGTTGTTAGAACACACTGTGCCCAGCACTTGAGAAACAGGCAGGTGGATCTCTGTGAGTTTCAGGTAAGCCAGGGCTACAGAGTAAGACCCTGTCTCAAACAACAAAACAAAAAACAAAAATGAAAACAACAAACAAGCATAACTATGATACTGAATAAGAAAATTAAGGGAGTGAAAATGGCTTATTTGTTGGCCATGGTGGCCCAAGTCTGTATTGCCAGTATGTGAGATGTGGAGGCAGCAGGATCATGCTTGGCTGTATAGTTGAGTTGGAGGCCAGCCTGGACTATATATAAGACCCTGTCCAATAAAAAAAAACAAAACAAACAAAAACCCCATGGTGGTGGGGGGAGCAGACCTACTTTCAGAGTGCCTGGGGACCATCTGAAGAGAGGAGCCTGAAACCGAGATCAAGGTTAAAGAAGATGGCCAAACAAAGGGAAGTGGAAGGGTACCAAGAAGAATGCATAGAATGTCCGAAAACCCAGAGGTAGGCTGAAAAACAGGGTGAAATGGATCCAGGAAGTAACAAATACAAACATATATCCTATGAATTTGAAAGGGATGAGACAGTACAGTGTCTTCTAACTCAAGGGTCAGGGTTGGAATGAAGTCCAAATGCACTGGGATGCTATCAGTTTTAAGTAGATGAGTACCATTATTTCTGGTTATCCAAAACTATTCTGCCAGGTGTGGTAGACAGGCCTGTAATCCCAGCATTTGGGAGGCTAAGGCAAAAGTTGGCAAGTTTCAAGGACAGCTTGGGACATACAGTAATACTTCAAAAAAGAACCAAAAAAAAAATCCTTCTTCCAAGACTGGGTACACAGTAGAAGGCCCTACGGTTCTAGCCCCAACTCCAAACAGGAAAAAGCAAACAAACCAGCCCATTCAATAACCAAACATTTATAATATACTTTTTACTTTGACAATTTTTATTTTCTTACCTTTTTAATATTTCTCTTTGAAATATAGTTGCATGTAGCCCAGGCTGGCCTCAAACTATGTAGCCAAGGAATACCTTGAATTCTTGATCCTTCTTGCTTCTACCTCCAGAGTGGTAGGATTAAGGCCTTAACACGTGTATACATTCACATTTATTCAGTGCTGGGATTCAAACTTTGTCCCCAGCCTGCAATATTTCTTTTCCTGTTGTTTTTCCTTCTGTCTTATCTTTTTGAGCCAGGGTCTCCCTGTAGCCCCAGCTGGCCTGGAACTTGCTATGTAGACCAGGCTGGACTTGATCTCAGAGATCTGCCTGTCTCTGCCTCCTAAGTGCTAGGATTCAAGGTCTATGCTACCACACCTGGCTGTTTTCTTTATTTTTTGTCTTTTGATACAGGAGTCTCATTTTCCTGTAGTCCAGGCTGTCCTTGAGCAAGCTAAGTAGACAAGGTTGGTACGTGTATTTTTAAAAATATTTTATTATTTTTATTTTATGTGTATGCATGTATTGCCTACATGTAGGTAAGTACACCGTGTTGCAAAATGCCAGTGGAGGACAGAAGAGGCCGTTGGATCCCCTGGAACTGGAGTTATGGACAGTCGTTAGCTGTCATATGGGTGCTGGGATTCAAACCCCGGTCTTCTGCAAGAACAGTCAGTTTTCTTAACTGCCGAGCCATCTCTCCAGCCCATGCATTCTTTTTTAAATTTAATTTTATTATTTCTGTTCTATGTGTATCAGTTTATTGCCTGCATGCATGTTAAGTATACCTATGTCATGCAATGCCCATGGAGGTCAGAAGAGGCTGACAGATCCTCTGAAACTGGAGTTATGGATGGTTATTAGCTGCCATATTGGTGCTGGGAACCAAACCTGGGTCCTCTGCAAGACCAGCCAGTGCTTTTAACCCCAAGCCATCTCTCCAGCCCCATGGGTGCTGGGAATCAAACCCAGGTCCTCTGCAAGAGCAACCATGCTCTTAACCACTGAGCTATCTCTCCAGCCCCAGCCTTGTATTCTTGATCTTTTTGTGTTGAGGTAACAGGCATGTACCACCACTCCTGAATCTGTTGTTTTCTTTGATATAAGGTCCTACCGTTGTAGCCCAGACTAGCCTTGAACTTGCCATTATCTGCCCTCAGCCTTCCAAGTGCTGGGAGTACAGTCTAGCATGTATCATTATACCTGACTTGACAACTTTTCAAACATGCATAAAGAAGATACAATGAACATTTCTGTAGCTACCACCAAGAACTATTCAATCTAAACTCTGTAAGGTTCAGCCTACTGAATGCTGGGATGATAGGTGTACATTACCAGCCCAACTGTTTTCCTCTTTGTTTTCTGTATGTTCAGCACAAATTATCTTACTTCCCTAGCACTCTAAATCTTCTCTGGAGATTTCCATTAACTCATTTTTTCTAGGATGTGCTCTGCAGTCATTTACTCTGCCCAACACTTGGGTCTTCACACTGCTATTCTCTATATCAAGTGCACAAGGTGAGCCTGGGAGCCCCCTTCGCTTTTCTACCATCTGGGGTATTTCCACTCTGCTTTCTGATTGGAGCTCACTGTCTTCTTGATTACATACCTTACAGTTTCTTGGCTTTCCAGACCTCATTGTGGTAGACAGTTCTTAAAACTTTCTGAGAAGGGGAATAATGAAAAACTCTGAGATACTCAATGTCTAAAAAATCACCTATCTGAATATTTGGTAGTTTGCCTTAGTTTGGAATTGTAGGTTGTAAATATTACCATATAATTCTGAATAAATTATTCAACTGCCACCACATTTTTAGCATTCTATGGAAGCGGAAGTCATTTCAAATACTTGTCTTTTTACAGTTTATTTCTCTTATGATTTTCTCTTTGTCCTCTGTGTCCAGAGATTGTTCATAGCTCTTTCTAAAAAAGAGGATTTCGCTGGGCATGGTGGTGTATGCCTTTAATCCCAGCACTCGCGAGGCAGAGGCAGGCGAATCCTCTGTGAGTTCAAGGCCAGCCTGGTCTACAGAGTTCCAGGCACCTGGAGCTACAGGGAGACCCTGTCTCAAAAAGACCAAAAAAAAAGAGAGGATTTCAGCCAGGTGTGGTAGCGCATGCCTTTAGTCCCAGCACTCAGGAGGCAAAGGCAGAGTATCTCTATGAGTTCAAGGCCAGCCTGGTCTACATAGTGAGTTCCAGGCCAGCTGGGGCTGACCCTGTCTCAAAAAGGCCACACAAATAAATTAAAAAAAAAAAAAAATAGGGCTAGAGAGATGGCTCACTGGTTAAGAGCACTGACTACTCTTGCAGAGGACCCGGGTTTGATTCCCAGCACCCACATGGTGGTTACAAACCATCCTTAGCTCCAGTTCCAGGAGAATCCGAAGCCCTCTTCTGACCTCTGTGGCATTGCATGACACAGGTGCACTCACATACATGTAGGCAACACACTCATACACATAAAATAGAAATAATAAATAAATTTAGTGGCAATATATTTAAAAAGGAGAAAAGAAAAAAAAAAGATTTCGGAGCTGGAGAGATGGCTCAACGGTTAAGAAACACTGGCTGTTCTTGTAGAAGATCTGGGTTCAAATCCAAGTACCCAAATGGCAGCTAACAACTGTCTGTAACTCCAGCTCCAGGGGATCTGATGGCCTCCTCTGTCCTCCGCAGGCATTGCACGACACACGTGCACTTATGTACATGCAGCAATACACTAATACACATAAAATAAAATTAAAAAATAACTGCCAGGTGTGGTGGCGCATGCCTTTAATCTCAGCACTCGGGAGGCTGATCTCTGTGAGTTCAAGGCCAGCTGGGGCTACAGGGAGACCCTGTCTCAAAAAGACCAAAAGAAAAAAAGAAAGAGGATTTCAACAAAGCATGGTGGCACATGTGTTTGATCCTAGCACTTGAGAAATAGATGCCAGTCAGTGCTACAGAATAGTGGGATTACAGGAGTGTACCTGGATTACAGTATACCAGAGTACTGAACTTGATCTTAAAAAAAAAAAAGATGTAACATATATTTGCATATATTATATATAAAAATATAAAATATTATCTATATCTATGGACTGGAGAGATGGCTCAGTGGTTCAGAACACTTGCTGCTCTTCCAGAGGACCTGGGTTTGTTTCCCAGCACCGACACTGGGCAACTCACAACTGCTTTTAACTCTATCTCTGGAGGATCTAAGCACTCCTCTGGCTTTTCATACACATGGCATACATACACACATCCACGTAAATAAAAATTTAAAAAATATATTTTTAATTCTCTCTGTGTATGCATGCATTTGAGTGCAGGTGTCCAAAGACATCAGAGTTGTTGAATCTCCCTGGAGATGGAGTTATGGGTATTGGCTCTCGTGGATCTTGGGAATACTACTTTTGTCCTCTGCAAGCGCAGTACATGCTCTTAACCATTGAGCCATCTCTTCAATTCCCCCTTCCTCTTTTTGAGACAGAGTCTCATATGTCTAGGCTGGTCTTGAACTCATTATGTAGCTAAGGATGACCACAAACTTCTGATCCTGGCCCTCACCTAGATATGCTGTGCTGAAAACTGAACCGAAGGCTTTGTGCATGCTAGGTAAGTGCTCTACCAACTAAGCTACATCTCCCATCTTTTAATTTCTTGCTCTCTCTTTGACTATGTCTTTTAATGAGTATCTATTTTGATTTATTATACCCTCAACCTCACTTAGAGGCGGAGAGTGAATTGAGGGCCTCATGCATGCTAGGCAAGTATTCTCAATCACTGAGCCATATTCCTAACTTAAGCAACCCTTTCAATTTGAAAATAGACCCTTTGGCTGGGCTTAGTGGCCCATGCCTTTAATCCCAGAGGTGGATCTCTGTGAGTTCAAGGCCAGCCTGGTCTACATAGTGAGTTCCAGGCCAGCTGGTGCTACAGGGAGACCCTGTCTCAAAAAAACAAAACAAAACAAAAAACAAATAAAGTGTACATACACACACACACAGAGACTAATTTAAAAGTGTTGATCACAGGGCTGGAGAGATGGCTCAGGACCCAGGTTTGATTCCCAGCACCCACATGGCGGCTAAGAACTGTCCTTAACTCCAGTTCCAGGGGAATCCGACGACTTCTTCTGACCTCCGAGGCATTGCACGACACAGGTGCACTTACATACATACAGACACTACACTTGTACACATAAAATAAAAATAATATATATATAAAAAAAATCACATCATCTAACCTATAAAAACAAACTATTCCTCTTGCATCAGGATTTTGAGCCTATGTAATCTGTTCTTATCTGTTTCTTTGAGTACATCCCATTTGCTAGAGTCAATCATGATCAGATCACCTATATAGCTGGGAGGCACTTTACTCCCAGCACTCAGGAGGCAGAGGCAGGCAGATCTCTGTAAGTTCGAGGCCAGCCTGGTCTACATAGTGAGTTCCAGACCAGCTGGGGCTACAAAGAGACCCTGTCTCAAAAAGACCAAAAACTGAAACACCTCCTTGAGACAGGGCCTTGCTGCATAGCCCAGGCTGACCTTGAACTTACTATACAGCCCAGGCTGGACTAAAAATCACAGTGATCTTGCTCCCTTAGCCTTCTGAGTTGCTGGAATTTCAGGCATATGATCTATCATTTTCAGGTAAGATTTTCTGCTTAAGAAAAGCTACATAGACTCCAATTACTACATAGACATCAATCAATCATTCTATTTTTTGAGACAAGATTTTAACTAGGTAGGTCTCAAACTATCCCACCTCAGCTTCCCAGAGGCAATACTTTGCCTCAGCTCAGAATTACAGCATGCATCACCACACTCAGGTTAATTCTTAGGTTTCTCATGTTCCTATAGGCACAGTGAAACAAGGGTGAGCTCCTCAGCTTCTGAGGTGCCACACCAACCTGACTACTTACCCTGTGGGTAGACACTCTTCTAGTCTCTTGTACTGGTAGCCAGAGTTAGGGTTGACTTGGCCCCCTGGGGTGCAGGCTGTAGCCTGGATGGTTAGCTGATGGCAGGCACACTTGGACCTGTATAAGACAGAAAGGAGTGACAATTAGAGCTGTGACTCTCTGGAAGCATGAAGGATGCGAGCTGGACACCATGAGGCATATCTGTAATCATATCACTTAGAAGTAGAGAGGCAGGAGTTCACTGTTATCCTCAGCTATATAGTGAGTTCCAGGCTAGCCTGAGCTTCATGAGATTTTCAAAAAAAGCCCAAACCAAAACAAAACCACAGCAAAAAGGATAGGATAAGTAAAGACAGTAGAATTTCATGTTTTTTTTTTTTTTCTTCTTCATAAAAGTAAATGAAGAAGGGGCTGGAGAGATGGCTCAGCAGTTAAGAGCACTGACTGCTCTTGCAGAGGACCCGGGTTCGATTCCCAGCACCCATATGGTGGCTATGAACCATCCTCAACTCCAGTTCCAGGGGGATCCAAAGCCCTCTTCTGACCTCCAAGGCATTGCATGACACGGGTGCACTCACATACATGCAGGCAATACACTCATACACATAAAATAAAAACAATAAATAAAATATTAGAAAAAAAAAGTACGTGAAGAAAAAAGCAACAGTAAGAGTAAGGTAAAGGTAGAGAATCAAAGTGGCACTAAAACAACAGAAACACAGGAAAAGAGGAAACAAGCAAAGTGGGGACAGGATCAGAGAAAGACACACAAACACATGTAACCAAGGGTCATTCACAATGACCGAATCACACACCATCCTCTCTGCCTCATGATTTTCTATTCTTTCCAACAAAGTCTCACTATGTAGCCAAGGCTGGCTCATAACTATTTAGATAGCCCAGAACTCAAGATCTTCCTGCCTTAGCTTCTCAGAATCTAGGTTTAAAAGAGACATGGCTACCACACTCAGGTTCCACCTCAATCTTATAGAGACCTTAGGCCTGATGGAAGAAATTCTAGATGGCGGAAGGAAAGGAAGATGGGAAAGCAATATACGTATAAGGAAGGCAGGCAACTATAGTAATGCTAGACAATCCCTGTGCATCCCACCAACTCACTTGTCCCGACACCCGTCCTTGCAGTCACAGCCAACCAGAAATTCAGGGCCTGTATTAATGAAAACACCCTTGCCAGGGATGCGCTCTTTGCTGTAAGCCACCTGGGGTGGGGGAGTTGTGTCAATCTCATTAACACATGACAGAGGAACATCTTCCTTGCCATAGGTGATGTCCAAAATATAGTAAAAAGGTTTAAAGGGCTGAAACTTCCTGTCTACAAGCACATATGGATCCAAACAGAACATCTCCAAGAAAAGGAAGTCACAGCCAGTCTCAAAAAGGTAGCGTTCAATTTCTTGCATTGTCCGAAGGCAGAGGCCACAAGGTGTCTTATAGATAACATGAAAGCCCATCTTGCGGTTAACTCGGCGCCGGGCTGTCATCCTCCGGAAGTCATACAGCAATGGGACCAACAGAGGGTTCTTGCCTCGGTACTGTTCACTCCTCATAGGTCTGACCCGAGACAGACATGTATAGCTGCAGACATGAGGCAAGTAGAAGAGCTTCTCCATGGGGGCGCGGTAGGAGGGCTCAGCTGGGGCCCGCTCTAGCATGCCATGGAAGGCTGGGGGGGCCAGAACCCCTGGAGGGGCTGCAGGTGCTGGGGCAGCTGGTGTCGAGGCCAAAGGTGATCTGCAAACAAAATATCAAAAATCAAACAGAAGATAACAGGCCTCTGTTGCATAATTATCCCTCTGGCTATATGTCTCTCATCTTACACACACACACACACACACACACACACACACACACACACACTTTTTTTTTTTTTTTTTTGAGACAAGGCCTCCCTGTAGCCCCAGCTGACCTGGAAATCACTATGTAGATCAGGCTGGCCTTGATCGCATAGGCCTCTGCCTCCTGAGCACTGAGATTAAATGCGTGCACTACCACACGCAGGTTATATATATACTTTTTTGTGACAGGGTCTCATTATGCAGCCCAGGCTGCCCTGGTACTTCCAACCATCCTCTGTAGCCTCCTTCAGAAGCAGCAATGGCACCACTCCAAGACAAGTTTTAATAAATGACTTTCTGATCACACTGTGTTTCCAGACATTTTTATTTTTTAATTTTAGTGGTTTTTTAAAAATTATTTTTATTTTTATGTGTATGTGTGTATTGCCTGCATGTATATAAGTGCACCTGTATCATGCAATGCCCATGGAGGTCAGAAAAGGGCATCAGATCCTGTAGAACTGGAGTTATAGACGGTTTTTAGCTGCCATGTGGGTGCTGGGAATTGAATCGAACCCGGGTTGTCTGCAAGAGCAGCCAGTTCTCTTAACTGCAAAATCATCTCTCTAGCCAAACAGTTTCTAATTCTCATTACCTGTGTCTAAGAAGTTTCCAAAGTTAAAGGTTTTTAAAAAGTTGAAGCTGGAGAGAGGGCTCAGCGGTTAAGAACACTGACTGTTCTTGCAGAAGACTGGAGTTCGATTCCCAAAACCCACATGGCAGCTAACAACTATCTGTAACTCCAGTTCCAGGAGATCTGACAGCCTCTGCTGTCCTCCGAGGGCATTGTACAACAAGGGTGCACTTGCCTTACATGCATAACACTCATACACATATAATTAAAAAAAAAAAAAAAAAGTTGAAGTTTCTTACTATGTAACATTAAAGTTCATTGGAGCCAAAGAGACTACCCTATATAGTGACCACTTGGTTATGCTGCTACCCTGCTACAATGCCTGAGGTCTCCTCACCTGTATGTCTGGCCAATTCCAGGTTTCCCACCAGGAACATTTTCACTGAGTGTGGGTGATGCAGGGGAGGAATGACCAGAGCCAACAGATCCTGGCCGGAATGATGTACTCTTCTTGGCTACCTGCTTCCGTGACTGAGCAAGCTGGCTTTCCAAGCTTCTAGGGGTTGAAAGAGACCACACAGTATAGGATATGGAAGATATGTGGGGGGAATACTAAGTAAGGAGAAGGAACAGCACTCACTCATTGTCACCTGCCTGGGGGGACAGAGGTGGATCAGGTAGGGCTGGTGGAGCAATGGGCTGTGAGGATACCATGGGTTTGAACTGGGTTCCAGTGCTGGTTAGATCCTGTGTGTATTGGACAACAGGACCTTTGCTCCTCACAGCACCTACAGGAAAAAGGAAGAGCAATGAAAAGATGATAGTGTGTTGAATGCACTTATTTAGACATCCTATCACCAACTAATGCAAAATAAAAATGCAGCAAGTGGGAAGGGTATGCACCTTTAAGCCCAGCACATGGGAGGCAGAGGTAGGCAGATCTCTATGTGACTGAGGCAAGCCTGGTTTATAAAGTGAATTCTAGGCCAATGGGGCTACAGAGAGATCCCCCTGCCACACACACACACAAAGGAGCAGCAAATGGGATGTAGCACATGGCTCAGTAGGTAAAGTACTTGCCACACAAGTATAAGGGCCTGAATTAGAATCTGCAGAACCAATGGAAAGCCAGGCACAGTAGCAGAATCTGTAATCTCAGTGCTCCCATGGCAAAATAGGAGGCAGAGAGAGGAAAATCCAGAAGCTTACAGGCCAGCTAGCCCTACACATGCAGCAACGAACAACAAAGAAACCTTGGCTCAAACAAGGTGGAAAATGAGAACCCCTATCTGAGGTTGTCCTCTGCCCTCCATATACACTGTGACATGCACACATCTGCAGTCACACACAAAAGTGAGAAATGGCAATATCCTAAGTGCTAAAATTGTCAGTTCTCATTTACAACAAGTGGATATACCAGTATACCCTGGTTTTGAAAAGACTTTTGTTGCTTCTGTTTTGAGGCAGGGTCTCATGTAATCATAGCTGACCTTGAACTCACTATGTAGCAAAAGATGGTCTTGAATTCCTGACCTTCCGACGTCTGCCTCCCAAGTACTGGGATTACAGATGTGCATCACCATGCCTAGCTTTATGTGGCTGTTTAGAATGAATCAGCACAGCAATATGGAAGCAGCCCCACAAATCTATCACCATTATCAGAAACAACTTGAATACATATCTCTTTCCAATGAGTGTTATTTGGTACAGCTTTTGTCTACATGATCTCCTTTACTGTTGTTCTCCATTTCTTCCCTTCCTTAGTATCTTTTAGGACATACCCATATTTGGACGGGTTCTGAGTTGCCCCCCTTGCTTCTTCTCCAGTGCAGAGGCTGAGGATGTTTTCATACTGAACATGGGTTCCAAACGTGTAGAGCCTCGATAGATCCATTCACATCTTTTGTCATCCTGGGAGACAGGAAGAAAGCCAAGACAGAGAGAAATGGGTTCAGGGTTGGAATCAATCCTGTCACTTGTTGAGAATATATACCATGAGCCACCTCTGGGATATCATCGTTTTTTAAAAAATTGTGCTTATTTATGTGGGTGTATGCCAGTTTGTTTACCTGCATACCATTCATGCAGTTGCCTTCAGAGGCCAGAAGAGGGCGTCGGATCCCCTGGAAATGGGAATTACAGGCAGTTGTAAGCCACCTTATATGAGTGTTGGGAATTGAACCTGGGTCTTCTAAAGGAGCAGCATGTGTTCTTAACTACTGAGCCATCTCTCCAGTCCATAGGACAATGTTTTTTAAAAAAATTATTATTTTTATTTTATGTGTATGAGTGTAATACCTGCATGTAGGTAGGGGCACCCGTGTCATGTGATGCCCAAGCTGGTCAGAAGAGGGCATCAGATCCCTTGGAACAGCAGTTACAGATGGTTGTTAGCTGCCATGTAAGTGCTGGAAATCAAACACGGGTCCTCCACAAGAGCAGACAGTGCTCTTAACTGCTGAACCATATCTCCAGCCTCCATGGACATCTTGATGAGCACTGAACTTATCCATTTAGTAATCAATACACCAGGATTCACAACAGGTATCACAAATACAATGACGAAATTTTGGGGCTATAGAGATGGATGGCTCAGCAGTTTGGCTACTCTAAAAGAGGGACCTGGGTTTGGTTTTCGGAACCTACTTGGTAGCTAACTGTCCATAACTCCAGTTCCAGGGGATCTGATGCTTCCATGGGCACTGCACATACTGGTGCACTTATATGCAGGCCAAACACTCATACACATAAAAATAAAAATTTTTAAAAAAGGGATTTTGGGGCTGGAGAACTCAGTGGCTAAGAGCACTGGCTCTTGCAGGAGACCCAGATTTGATTCCCAGTACCCACATGGTTAACAACCATCTGTAACTCCTATTCCTGGGGATTGAACGCCCTCCTCTGACCTCTGCAGGCACTGCATGACACAGGTGCAATGTACCTGTTTACATGTAGGGTACATGTAGGCCTAACACTCATACATATTAAAAAAAAAAAGATATTTTGTTTAAGAAGTTATAGGAGAGATAGGTTATCTGTGCAGAGAAATAACAAAGATCATAAGACCTTAGAACAAAGGGGAGTTATAATACAAAAATAGTATAAATCTAAAGAAGAAGGAATGAAAAGCAAGAAAAAGATAGGTATAAAAGACTGAAGAGTCTGGCCAGGTGTGGTGGCACATCTCTTTGAGTTCAAGGCCAGCCTGGCCTACATAGCTAGCTCCAGGCCACCTGAGACTACAGGGAGACTCTGTCTCAAAATAAAATAAATAAATAAAAAGAAATACCCCATAGAAACAGAAAAGGACAATATAATTTGGCCAAAACAGTAAGAGCAAAAACAGTAAGAGCAGATAAGAAGGTTAAAGGAGAAAAGTAGAAAATCATTCTTATTAGTGCCTCTCATGCCTGCCCACTAATCATTAACTTTTCAAGTTTTTTACATTTATTTATCTTGTGTGAGCATGCATGCAAGCACCACAATGCATATGTGGAGGTCAGAGGGCAACTTGCATGAGCTGGTTCTCACCTTCTACCATGTGAATCCCAGAGACTGAACTTAGGTTGTCAGGCCTGGTAGTAAGTATAACTTTACCCACTGAACCATTTCACCTACCCCAGCTCCCTAATCTTATCCCAACCTCTTCCAGAGTTCAAGGGAAGATTACCAGGAAGAGGATCCTGACTAGGCTGCCATCCACCTCCTCAACTCGGGACTTCCACCACGTGCCTTCCCACTCGGTCTTGATAAGTTGGCCGCTCTTGAGCAGTACCATGGGGCGGTTTGGGTAGGCAGTGATATATTCCTCTATGAAATCTCGGCAGGAGCTGTCTTCTATGTCCTCCCAAGTCTTTTTCACTGTCCCGGGAGAGAAACAGAGCTGAGAGGACATGCAAGAAGAACATGACCCGATAGGGAAAACAGCTGACAAGGACACAGTTGGTATTTTTTAAGTTGAAAGAGAGTAAAGTGAAATCACAACCTCAAGATAAACAAAATCAAGACCATCTTAAGTACTGAACCTAATGTGTAAACGCATGTACAAATCAAGTAAATATTAAACCACACACATACCTAAGTGATTCACTTATTTCACACAAATGGACATCTCATCTTATGAAAATTCAAATGGAAATTCTTACCAGTTGATATAAATTATTATGAATAAAAAAAGAATCATTGTTTTCTTCCTCTTTTGTGAGGCAGGATCTTGCTAAGTCACTGCTTTTCTTTTTTAAAAAATTTTATTTATTATTTTTATTTTATGTGTATGCATGTATTGCCTGGATGTAGGTAAGTTGCACCCGTGTCGTGCAATGCCTGTGAGGTCTTCTGCAAGAACAACCAGTGTTCTTAACCGCTGAGCCATCTCTCCAGCCTGTTTTTTGTGTTTAATTTTTAAAATTATTTTTATTTTATGTGTATGTGTATTGCCTCCATGTATGGAAGTGCACCTGGGTCATGCAATGCCCATGGAGGTCAGAAGAGGGCATCGGATCCCTCGGAACTGGAGTTGTTAGCTGCCATGTGGGTGCTGGGATTTTGAACCTGGGTCTTCTACAAGAACATTCAGTGTTCTTAACTGCTGAGCCATCTCTCCAGCCCTCTTCTTTTTTTTTTTAAAATGCTGGTGATCAAGCCCAGAACCTTGCACATGCAAGGTAAGAGCACTTCCTCACTGAGCTACACTGTTGGCTCTTCCTTTTAATTCTTTTTATGATTTTTGACAGACTGAGATGGCTCAGTTGGTAAATTGCCTGACACAGAATCAGGAGGACCTGAATTCAGACACCCAACAACCACATGGGCTGGGTGTTCTGGTGCAAGTCTGCAACCCTAGCACTAGGAAGAGATGAATCCTCAAGAGCATGCTGGATGGCCAGCCAGCCTAGACTACTGGTGAGCTCCAGATTCAGTGAGACACTGACTCAAAAAATGAGGTGGAGCCAGGTAAGGTAGTACACCTCTTTACTCTCAGCACTCAGGAGGCAGAAGCAGGCAGATCTCTGTGAGATCCAGGCTAGCCTGGTCTACATAGTGAGCTTCAGACCTCTGGCCTCCAATGCATATATCCAAGCACATAAACACAAACAAAATAGTGCTATGAATGGTGGTCCATGACTGTAATCACAGAAATTAGGAGGTGAAGGCAAGAGGATAAGGACTCTAACATCAGCCCTGGGTACATAGAGAGTTTGAAGCCAACCCTAGCTACATGAGACCCTGTCTCATTAAAAAAATTCTTTTGGAGGCAGGGTATGAAGGTGCACACCTTTAATACCAGCACTTGGGAGGCATACGAAGATGAATCTCTGTGAGTTCAAGGCCAGCATGGTCTACACAGTGAGTTCCAAGCCAGCTGTAGCTACAGGGAGACCCTGTCTCAAGAAGACCAAAACAAAAATAAAAACAAAAACAAAAACTAGGGACTGGAGAGATGGCTCAGTGCCTGCTCTTGCAGAGGACCTGGGTTCAGTTTCCAGTACCCACATGGCAGCTAACAAATTTCTCTGACTCCAGTTCCAGGGGAATCCGACACCCTCTTCTTTCTGTAGGCATTGCATAACACTGGTGCAATTCTACATGCAGGCAATACACTCATATACATAAAATAATAAAATATTTAAAAACCAACCAACCAAAACAAAACAAAAAACCCTAAAGTCAAACAGTTGTGGTTCTGGAGAGATTTCACAGTGGGAACGAGCTCTTGCTATACAGTGGGAAAGAGTGCTCTTGCTATTCAAATATGAGGACTTGAGTTCAAATTTCCAGTGCCCCCCAAAAAAGCTCGACATGGCTGGGCTGTAACTCTAGCATTAGAGGGTGGAGACAGGTAGATCCTGACTCTCTGGCCAGCTATCCTGAGACCCTGGTTCAAGGCAGTTAGGCAGAGAACAACAGAGGAAGACATTGTCTTCCCCTGGTGTCAATGGATGAGTGCACAGGTACATACACCTACAAACTCATATAAAATAAAAAGCTATGGAAGCGGGGAAGAAAATTCAGTTGGCAATGTGCCTACTGCACAACCATAAAGATCTGACTTTGATTCCCTATATAAAAAGGCTGGGCGGAGCTGGAGAGATGGCTCAGTGGTTAAGAGCACTAACTGCTCTTGCAGAGGACCTGGGTTCAATTCCCATCACCCACATGGCGGCTATGAACCGTCCTTAACTCCAGTTCCAGGGGAATCCGAAGCCCTCTTCTGACCCCCATGGCACTGCATGACACGGGAACACTCACACACATGCAGGCAATACACTTATACACATTAAAAAAAAAAAAAAAAGGCTGGGCATGGTGGCACACACTTACAATGTCAATGCTGAGGAGGCCAGATCCCCTGTCACTCACTGGCAGCCAGCCTACTCTACTGCAAGAGATCCAGACCAATGAGATAGTCTGTCTCAAAAAAAACAGAGTGAGCCAGGCATAGTGGCACACACCTTTAATTCCAGCTCTTGGGAGAGAAGGCAGCTCTCAAGGCCAACCTTGTCTACATAAAAAGCTCCAGCTCAGCTGGGGCTACAGGAGACCCTGTCACAAAACAAAGCTAAGAAAAACATAACACAACACCCAACAAGGTGGATAGCACCTGAAGAGTAATACCCAGAGTTGACTTCTGGCCTATATGCACTGGGACAGACATGGCTTCCACAGGAAACCCTATGCAGATAACATATTAGTAGAAATGTAGTCAAGCATGCGACCCAAAAAGAAACAGCCTATCTTTAAACCTATGAACTTAAAACACATCTATCAGGGGGCCTGAGAGATGGCTCAGTGGTTAAGAACACTGGTTGTTCTTGCAGAGGACCCGGGTTAGAATCCCAGCACCCACGTGGCAGCTAACACCTGTCCGTAACTCCAGTCCCAGGGATCTGACAGCCTCTTCTGACCTCCGAGGGACAGTCTCTCTGTCCTCCATGGGCATTGCACAACACAGGCGCACTTACCTACATGCAAGCAATACATGCATACACAAAATTAAATAAACAAACAAATAAACAAATAAAAACACATCTATCAGATGCTACCACTGAGGGTCAGTCAAGATCTTCTAGTATCTCATGCTTTTGCCATCTATAGCAGTGTCAGCTAATAATGCTGTATCTCCAACTAAAGTGGAGCACCAAAACAAAACTAGGGCTTTTCACCCAAGTATCTAAAGAAGAAATACAAGGTAGAGAAGGAAATTAGAGCTAGGCAGAATAGAGGGACACTTACGTGGTCGGCAAATGGGATATAGTTCTGACTGTGTGACATAGGAAGCGTAGCCATCATCAAAAAAAATCAGAAACCTACGAGGGAAGAGTGATGGCAAAAAGATGTGGGAGTTACAAAACTTACTTTATCACAGACATTATTTTATCATAGCTTCACTTCCCTGCATCACTACCTTCTTCCAAACCCCAAGATTTTCTCTTAATCTAATCAATGTATCTCCTCTTTTCCAAAAAATATTATTCTGGGGCTGGAGAGATGGCTTAGTGGTTAAGAACCCTGGCTGCTCTTGCAGAAGACCCATGTTCGAATCCCAGGACCCACATGGCAGCGAACAATTGTCCCTAACTCCAGTTCTAGGGATCTGACAGCCTCTTATGACCTCCTCAGGCATTGCACGATATGGATGCACTTACCTACATGCAGGCAATACAAACATACACATAAAAATAATAAATAAAATATTTAAAAAAATATTATTCCTAGCCCAGCGCTTGGGAGGCAGAGGCAGGTGGATCTCTGTGAGTTCAAGGCCAGCCTGGTCTACATAGTGAGTTCTAGGACAGCTGAGGCTACAGGGAGACCCTGTCTCAAAAAGACCAAAAAAAAAAAAAAAAATTTTCCTAGCTTGGTGTGGTGGCATAAGCTTTTAATCGCAGCACTTGGGAGGCAGAGGCAAGAGGATCTGTCAGTTCAAGACCATGGTCTACACAGTGAGATGGTGTCTAAAAAACAACAAACCTCCAAAACAAAAAACAAAAACTATTATTCCTGCCAGGTGTGGTGGCACATACCTTTCATCCTAGTACTCCTGAGGCAGAAGCAGATGGATCTCTGTGAGTCTGAGGCCAGCATATCTACACAATGAGCCAGGAATACAAGGTGAAACCCTGATTCAAGAAAAAAAAATACTACCCCTCCAAACTGTGCATTCTCCATTCTCGTTCCTTATCACATTCCTGTGGTACTAACCATTTAGTCTTTATTTCTTCCCTCTCTGAATTTCCTATTTTCCTAACCATTAATAAATCTTGACTTATCTTCCAGTTTCTATCAGATGTGGGGACACATTTCTCTAATCCCAGCATTCAGGAGGCAGAGGTAGGAGGTTTGTGAATTTGAGACCAGTCTGGGCTACACAAGGATGTGAAGCCAGCCTAGGCTACATATAGAGATGCTGGCTCAAAAAAAAAAAGGGGAGGATGTTTTCAACCCACATGACTTGTGTTGCAAAGAGAAATGGTTTCTGAAAAAGGGACTAAGAACACAAAAGCTAATTGTGGAACTGTGACCATGGCATGAACAGGGTAGGAATGCTCCCAGTTTCTCCTCCCCTTAGAATCTCCTGCCCAGGTACCTGAGCTTGTTTTTGACGTTTGGTGTTTCAGCTACAATGCCAGCATAAAGCCAGACCTGATTTCCATCTTTGTATTTGGCCACCACTCGACTGCCCACAAACAGCTTGTCAGCAGGAGGGTGGTAATCATAGGCAATATGGTTCCCCGACAGCAGACTCTTTCCTTTGTTGTCGAATTTCACCTTGTATTTCTTTCCTAGTCCTGAGTAAAAGGAAAGACAAACACAATTTTTAAAAACAGTTACTTTCTATGCAAGCCCTGGGTGCTACGTAAGAGATATAAAGAAAGACTAGGGGAGTGGGGGAATCAGCAGTGGAGACCTACAGGTTACCTTGTCATTCCTTCCTCTAGTCTGACATACCAACTGTCTGGATGGCAATAAGGGTGCCCTTGTGCCATGTCTTAGTTCTCTTCTTGCCCAGAATCCGCATGCTGACTATCAGGTCACCATCTTTGCTCAGTTCTCCAGACATCTGACCCAAGGTTCCTGTGGAGGATACATAGAGTTGCTATGAAGAGTGACATTTTAAGCTAGGTAGAAAAAAGGAAAGGTGGAGGGAAGTAGGTGAGCTGGGGATGTAGCTGCTAGCAGAGTGCTTGCCTAGCAAGCATAAAGCCCTAAGTCTGAACCCCAGAACTGCATAAACCTGGTGTGATGGTACACACCTATAATCCTATGAACTCAAGTAGGGAAGGCAGGAGAACTGCAAATTAAAGATCAGTAGGAAGGCAGGAGAATTGCAAGTTAAAGATCATCCTAGGCCACGTTAAAGATATCTCAAAAATAAAGAGAGTAATACGGAAATCAGGGAAACTGAGGTATCCTGTAATCATCAGCCACTTTTGTAGAACTCTTGGACAAAGGAAAAAAAAAAACCACAAAACAACTCAATTCTTTATGTTAACAGAAACTTGAATATAATACAATGAAGTTCACATGTAATTCAAGAACATGCCATCTTACTCAATGTTTCTAACTTCTTATAAACAATAACACTAATAATAAGCCTGAGCTAACACATCCCACAAGGATCTCAAGATTGATTGTGGACAATGCTGTTAAACTGACAGGTAGAAAAGAATTCTGAAATGCAAAGATATTGAGATCAATAACACCTCTGAAAGATTCACCTCTCATCTCTACCTAGGGACTCCTTGACTCTACCTTTATGCAGATCCTGGGAACTGCTCTTCTTGTTGACAGCATCCATGAACTTCTGGACATCCTGAGCTGATTTTCTTAACGCAGCCATAGCTTCACGGAGCTGGAGGAAAACAGAAGATTGAAAAAAAAAACAAAAAAAATTCAGAGCCATGAGTTAGAAATAACTTGAGAAGGCTGGGTTGCATCTGTAGCACTACAGGGGAAAAGAAAATAGAGAAAAGTACCTGTGAATAACTTGGCTCCAATAATCAAAATAGATTCAATTATATTTGGAGGCCTGAAAACAGAAGATTGAAAAAAAAAACAAAAAAAAATTCAGAGCCATGAGTTAGAAATAACTTGAGAAGGCTGGGTTGCATCTGTAGCACTACAGGGGAAAAGAAAATAGAGAAAAGTACCTGTGAATAACTTGGCTCCAATAATCAAAATAGATTCAATTATATTTGGAGGCCTGGGGAGATGGTTCAAAGGTAAAAGCACTTTGCTGTTCAAGCATGAGGACCTGAGTTCAAATCCTCAGAACCCACATAAAAAGCTGGGCATGGCTGGGAGTGCCTGTAACCCCAGGGTGTAGAACTGTCAGGCAGAGACAGGCAGCTCCAAGAGCTCATCGACCATCTAGTCTAACTGAAAAGAACTTTAGACTCAATGAGAGATTCTGTCTCAATGCAGAGGAGCACGAGAGGAGTGCACAGGCACACAGCCCTCCCAAATACAAAAATAAAGAAATGTATTTGGAAGCCTATGGTTACTTTAGCAAGCAAAAGGTGTTGGTTTTTTGTTTGATTTAAATAAATCTGATTCAGAAATCAACTTCAGGAAGTACTTCTTGATTAAATCTCTCCTGGTTGAACTCTGCTAAGTTTAATTACCATAAAGTACTCCATTGCACACATCTATCTCTTGGTAACTTTTTTTTTTTTTTTTAACATTTTGTGTATGGTACATGCAGGGGTATGCTGGTGCATGTGGTTGTATGCATGGGGAGGCCAGAGCAGGCCGCTGAGTGTCTTCCTCTATTGCTCTCTGCCATACTGTTTTGAGACAGGGTCTCTTCACTGAACTGGAGATAGGGTCCCACTCATTGAAGCTTGTTATTTTGGCTGGTGAGCTTTTGGGATCTACCTGTCTCTTATTCTGCCAGGGCTGGAATTATAATCACACAGTCATGAGCAAGTTTTTTCTTTTTCTTTCTTTCTTTCTTTCTTTCTTTCTTTCTTTCTTTCTATCACCATCTGTTGCATGAGAAAGCTTTGTTGGGGAGAGTTGAGAGATGCACTGATATTCTTTCCACCCCCTGGTCCGCTATGTTCCCTGAGACGTAAGTGTAGAGGTTGCATTGTAGATATGTCACTTGTAGCTGGGCACCTCACGAGACACTTATTCTCTGTGTTTGACCAGTTGTGGATCTTTTTTGGTCTTTTTGAGACAGGGTCTCCCTGTAGCCCCAGCTGGCCTGGAACTTGCTTTGTAGACCAGGTCTTGAACTCACAAAGATCCACCTGCGTCTACCGCCTGAGAGCTGGGACAAAGGTGTGCATACCACCATGCCTGGCTGATTTTTTCTTAAAGTTTTATTATTTTTAATTATGTATCTATGTGAGTGCCCCATGTGTGCAGATACCAACAGAGTCCAGAGGGCAGGTATCTGATCTCCTGGAGCTGAAATTACAGCCAGTTGTGAGCCACCCAACAGGGTGCTGGCTCCTCTGGAAGAGCAGTGTGCACTTTTACCCCCTAAGCCATCCTTCTAGCCCAAATTCCTATTTCTTAATCTCCCACAGCCAACTCACCTTCTGGTCTTTTGGAGTTCTGCTCCCAGCATCACCTAAGGAAGAACAGAACTCTAATGAGTATAAAAAAAGATGTAGGCATAGAAATTTTTACAAAATCAGTAACTAAATGACTCTGAAGTATTATTAGGAAAGCATTATTGATAAATACAAATAGTTTGAAAATCTGGGCTTTGTGGTAGAATGTTTGCATAGCATATGTAAGGCCCTGGGTTTAATCCTAGGCACCCAGAAGTAAAATAAAAATGTTCTAAATAAAGATAAATACATGAATGAAAGCATTTAAAGGAACTAGGGATGGAGTCACGGTCTTGTAAACTCAGTGACCGAGACTGAGGCTTGCCTATGCTAGAAAACAAGAACTAGGCCAGCCTGGGCAACTTATGCCCTGTCCCCAAATAAAAAGTAATGTAGGGCACACTGGTGCTATAGAGGCAGAGGCAGGAGGATCATGGCTTGTTTGAGACCAGCCTGGTTTACACAGAGAAGTAAAGGTCAACCAGGGACACATAATGAGGTATCTCAAAAAACCAAAAACTAAACAAATGAAAAGTTGTTGTTGGTGTTTATTGGCAGCATATATGAGTCCCTAGATTTGATCCCCAGCACTGGGAGTCAGGGGATAACTGAAAAGAGTTTGGAGGAAAAAAAAAAGTAAATGACAGTGTTTACCCCTGGATGAAGAACTGGGAGGGTGGTAGTCGATAACATATTAGGGTTTTTACAATAGTTCATTTACCTATTACTCATGTAACTTAAAAATAAGATGTGGCTAATGAGCTTAAGCAAAATACTTATTTTCAAGAAGCACTGTGCAAGGGAACTGCCAATGATGACAGAAATGTCCTTTACACTGTCTACTCCATTAACATTTGTGGAGTTAGTGCACATGGAATGTGGCCATTGTAACTAAGGAAATAATTTCAGTTAATTTAAAAAATTTTCAATTAAGGTATAATCCACATGCACATATGTTCAATGGTTAAAATCTTTAAAATTTTTATTTTATGTGTATGACTGTTTCTTCTGCATGTATATACATGTACCCGGATTGTCCAATGTCCATGGAGGCCAATAAAGGATGTCAGATCTCCTGGAAATGGAGTTACAGATGGTTGTTAGCTATCATGTGGGTGCTGAGAACCAAATATAGGCTCTCTGCAAGAGCAGCCAATGCTCTTAATCGTTGAGCCTTCTCTACAGCTCTAGTCTAGTGGCCTTTAATCCAACAATTAAAGATTATGCAAGTATCTTGGCTGATTTATTTTCAGACCATTTTCATCAATCCAAAAAGAAACTCCAGGGGCTAGAAAAATGGCTCAGAGGTTAAAAGCGCTTACAATTCCAGAGGACCTGGGTTCAGTTCCCAGCACCCACATGGTGGCTAACAGCCATCTTTAACTCCAGTTCCAGGGGATCCAATGCCCTCTTCTGACCTCCACAGGCATTGCATGACACAGGTGTACTTACACACATGTAGGTACCACACTCAGACATATAAAATAAAATTAACAAATATTAAAAAAAAAAAAACCCAAAACCAAGTTGGGCATGGTAGCACATGCCTTTAATGCCAGCACTCTGGAGGCAGAAGCAGGTAATCTCTGTGAGTTCAAGTCCAGCCTGGTCTATATAGTGAGTTCTAGGACAGCAGGGGCTACAGGGAGACCCTGTCTCAAAAAAAGACCAACTCCCTCCCCAAAACAACCCCCCCAAATCAAACACCCCCACACACACAAAAAAACCCCTCCATGCCCATTAGCCAGCATTTCCTTTCAACTTCCCTCAAGTTAGGCAACCAATCTACTCTCTATCTCTATAGATTTGCCTGTTCTGGACACTGTATATGGAGTCAAACAATTTGTGGTTCATCTTTCATAAAATATATCAGTACTTCAGTGTGGGAGACAGGCTTGAGCCTAGAGTGATACTGCAACTGTCAGGTTCATGTGGTTTCCAGGAATCCAGGTTATGCTAATAAGGTATCCTACTTGCTGTACTGTGATAGGATGCTAAACCTGTTATGCTAATAAGGTATCCTACTTGCTGTGCTGTGATTGGACCACTACCCCATATAAGCTTGTGCTTTCCTGCAATAAAGCAGACCTGTGTCACTGAACCTGGTCTCCTGTATGTGGTCTCCTGTGGCTCTGCTGACACAGTCCCCTCACCAGCCCCAGGGGTCTGGGACCGGGCAGAAGCAGCCACGACAGGAGGCAGCACAGGGCAAGCAGAAGAGCAGCCTCAGCCCAGGGTGAGCGGAGGAGCAGCCTTGATGCCCATGAGAATGGAGGAGCGGCCACTGCTGGCAGTGACCGCACTTCAGGCCTCTCTCCGGGGGGTTTATACTGAGTTCAATATTGTATGACTGTATTAATTCAACTGAACCTAAAAATTTACAGCCACCTTTGAAAGAGATGTATCCTTGCTCTGGAATATGTTTACTGAGTATGTTAAAGCTGTAATGAAATGCTTCTTCTAATCATGTGGTTATTAAATTAAAAAAATAAACTTAAAAAAAAAAGAAAAACATTTTTTAATTATTTAAATTTTTTTTTTATCTATATGTGTGTCTGTGTGGACATGTACATGTGAATGTAGTGTCTGCAGAGGCCAGAAAAGGGTGTTGGATCCATGGGGCTGGAGTTACAGGTGTTGCGAACCTCTTGCCATGGATGCTGGGAACTGAATTTGGGTCCTCTGTAAGAGCTGTATGTATCCTTAACCACTGAGCCATCTCTCCAGCCTCTTATTTTTAAATTATGTTTAATTATGTTTATGTTTAAATTATGTATATGTGTCTGGGTGGGGGTATGAGCATGTGAGTGCAGGTGCTCACAGAGAAGTCAGACAACCCCCTGAAGCTAGAGTTACAGGTGGTTAAGAACTATCTGATATGGGTTCTGGGAACTGAACTAAGGTCCTCTGAAAGAACAAAACATACTCTTAACAGCTGAGCCATCTCTCTGACCTCAGTACTTTAGTTTCACAGTTGAATAATACTACTCCACTGTATGCTGATTCTGAATATCTGGTTTACCCATTCATCCGAAGATGGGCACTTGTGTTTCTACTTTTTAGCTAGTATGAATAATGCTGAAATAAACTTAAAAACATTTTTTTAGTGTTTTGCCTTCATTTATATAAGTGTACCCATACTGTGCAACGCCTAGAGACCAGGTGTCAGACGCCCCTGGAACTGGAGTTAGGGGGCAGTTGTTAGTTGACATGTGGATGCTGGGAACTGAACAAGAGCAGCAAGTGCTCTTAACTGCCAAGCCACCTCTTCAGTCCTCAAACTTTTTTTTTTTTTTTTTTTTGTCTTTTTTGAGACAGAGTCTCCCCGTAGCCCCAGTTGGCTTGGAGCTTGCTATGTAGACCAAGCTGGCCTTGAACTCACAGAAATTCACCTGCCCCTTTAGTCCTGGGCCTAAAGGCACGCACTACCAGGCCAAGCTTTTTTTTTTTTTTTTTTGGTCTTTTTTGAGACAGGCTCTCCTTGTAGCCCCAGCTGTCCTGGAACTCACTATGTAAACCAGGCTGGCCTTGAACTCACAAAGATCCGCCTGCCTCCCAGGTACTGGGATTAAAGGCGTACGCCACCATGCCCGACTCCAGCTTTTTTGTTTGTTTTTGAAACAGACTCACTATGTAGCCCTCAGTAGCCTGGAATTCATTATGTAGATCAGGCTTGCCCCAAACTCATAGAGATCTGCCTGCTTCTGCCTCCCAAGTGCTGGAATTAAAGTCATGCACCTCTATGCCCAGCAAAAAAAATTTTTAATTTAAATAAAGTAGGTTTGTGTTTTGATGGTTAAACTATAAGAATTTGATCTTTTTGAGACAGAGTCTCCCTGTAGCTCCAGCTGTCCTGGAACTATGTAGACCAGGCTGGCCTTGAACTCACAGAGATCCGCCTGCCTCTGCCTCCCAAGTGCTGGGATTAAAGGCGTGCACCACCATGCCTGGCTCAATGACAAGTCTTTTATATTGTAATTCACAAAACAATTTGTTATAGGTGATGAGTTAAGGAATCCTTTCACATTTTCCAACTTTAAAATAAGAGATTCTTGAGGCCCTCTGGAGAGAGCAGTGAAAATAAGACCTTGTTGTACATGCCTGGAGGAGAGCTGGGTTCCACTTGGTGAAGGGTTGGCTATAAACCTCATACCAGGGATCATGCCACCTTACCCCAGGATGCCAAGCATGCTGAAAGCATGCTGAAGTGAGCCTCTTGAACAGAAACTTCTTTTTCTGTTATTACTCAACACAAAGCTAAATGGCTAAATATAAAATGTGAAAATTGCTTTCTTTTAACAGAAGATCAGATCCCTCCAGCTTTGCAAATTTTTAAATAAAATCCTATTGAACCAAAAATTTTTTTTTTTCTAAATTCTAGATTATAGTAGACCTTTTACAATTTCACTTTTTGTTTTTATGATCACCTCACTCTGCCACCCAGGCTGTCTTGGAATTACATAGTTCAGGCTGGCCTTGAACTCATAGTAATCTTTCTGCCTGGACTCATGAGACACTGTCTCAAGAAAAAACAAAACAAAGGGGCTGGAGAGGTGGCTCAACAACTAAGAGCTCTTGTTGCTCTTAGAGAGAACCAGAGTTCAGTTCCCAGCACAAACATCAAATGACTCACAACCACCTGTAACTCCAGCTCCAGAGAATCAAACACTCTCTTCTTATCTCCATACGCCCCACATATACATGCATGCATACACATACACACACACACACACAAATAAATCTTAAAACAAAACCACAAAAGCAAACCCTGTCAACAACAAATAATGGCAAAGATGTGGAGAAACTGCAACTCTTATATTCTGCTAGTGAGAATGTAACTTTGTGTGTGTGGTACTAAGGATTAAACCCAGGACCTTACACATTTCTAGCCAAGTGCTCTACCACTGAGCTAATTCTCCAGCACTATTGAGAATGTAAAATGATGTAACCGCCTTCCAGAAACTATGGCAATTTTTTCTAAAATTCGAAACATACATCTACTACAATGCCCTACAAAAGACACATCAATAAAAATGTTCACAACATTTATATGTGTATGTTTACACACTTGTAAACAGTGGTATATGGTTGTATGTATGCAATAGTTATATACAGATACAAATAAACTCATGTGATAATTAAAAAAAAAAGTTCACAACAGCATTACTCATAACAGCCAAAGCTGCAAAGAATCCAAATGTAGGACAACTTTCAAGAGTTGGTTCTCCTCCCACTATCTGAGTCCTGGGGCTCAAACTCTTGTTATCATGCTTAATAAGTGTCTTTCCTTGAAGAGCCATCTCCAGCCCCATTCTAAACTTTGGTCAGAGAAGCTTTTTTTTTTTTTTTTTTTTTTTTGGGTCTTTTTGAGACAGTTGTCTCCCTGTAGCCCCAGCTGGCCTGGAACTCACTATGTAGACCAGGCTGGCCTTGAACTCACAGAGATCTGCCTGCCTCTGCCTCCCAAGTGCTGGGACTAAAAGCCTGTGCCACGCCCCGAGAGCAGCTTTTTTTTCTTTAAAGTAACAGACCTCTGCAGTTACTGCAGAGACTCACAACTGGTCAAAGTGCTGAATATAAGTGACTGTTAAGTGCTCAACCCTAAATGAGACATTTATATCACTCCCCTACCCTCAAGGCTCTGGAAAGATGGTGTGGAAAGCCAGAGGATGGGGAAGAATGCTAGGAAGGTTATCTTCTGGGCATGATATAGTCCTTGGACTCATGAACTCACAGAAGCTCTGCTTACATGGGCAAGATCAAGACAGACAACATTCCAGCAAGGATGGGGAGGGGCCTCATGCTATTGGCAGTTAATGGCTGCTGGGGGAGGGGCAGTCATTTTTCTTCAGGGCTGTTAAGTCTCCCATGACCCCACATCCAAGTACATCCAAGCAACCCTACTTAAACTCAATGGGTTATAAAATAAAAATTAAAAACAAAACAAAACATGAAAGAGGAGGGACAAGTTGGGAAGACCAAAGGGCATGGGAGAGGAATAAGAGAGGGGTGTATGTATGATCAAAACACATGTGCATGTATGAAATTATCAATGAATAAATTAAAAGTTATTAAAACAAACATTAAAGGCCAGTTTTGGTGGCACATACCTATAATTCTAGCACCTGGGAGGCAGATGTAGGATCAGGAGTTCAAGGTCATTTTCCAAAATACAGTGAGTTCCAGATTAGCCTGAGCTAGAACAGTGTCTCAAAACAAACAAAACAAAACCCCAAACTCAAAGCCCAAACCCAACAACAGCAGCAACAAAAAAAACCAAGCATGGTGGGTGGGGCATGCCTATAATCACAGCACTTGGGAAGAGGCAGGCAGAAAGATCAAGGTCAGTTTTTGTTATACAGTGAGTTTGAGGTCAACCTGAGCCTCAAGAGACCTTATCTAAAAACAACAACAACAAAAAAAAAAACCCCCAAACTAAAACAGAAACTATTCATTGTATTTATATGATGCATCTAGAAATGACAAAAGCATAGAGAAAAAAAGATTAGCAGTTGTCAGGGCTAACTGGAGAGACAAACAGGAGAGGGGACAAAAGTTTTCTAAACTTAGATTACTACATAAATGTACAAGAACTCAAATAGTATATTTAAGATGTATATATACATTTTTTTGAGACAGGGTCTTCCTGTAGCCCCAGCTGGCCTTGAACTCACAGAGATCTGCCTGCATCTGCCTCCTGAGAGCTGGGACTAAAGGCATGCACCAGGCTAAGATGTATCTATTTTATGGCACACAAATATCTTAATAAAACTTAACAGGCCGAGTATGGTGGCTCACACCTTTGATCCCAGAATTCAGGAGGCAGAGACATGAGGATTTCTTTGAGTTCCAGGCCAGCCAGGGATACCTAGTAAGACAGTTTCAATGAACAAAAATACCACAGAAAAATAAAAAGAACCCTGGTTATGGAGTCCATACATAAATGATAAAGTTACCTATTATGTCATAAGTCACTGTATAACCTGGGTATGCTGGCTAACACCTGTAATCACAGCACTCAGGAGGCAGAGGCACGAGGATTGCCACAAAGTCTGAGGCTAACTTGGTTTATACAGTGAGTTCCAGGGTAGGCAGAGGTACATCAAGATCCTATCTCAAAACTCAGTGCTGGATAGGTGGCTCAGCTGACAGTGCTTACCATGCAAGTGCAAGAACTAGAGTTTGGAGTCCTAGGACCCACATAAAAGGCAGATGGGCACAGCAGCTGTCTACAATCCTAGGACTCAGGAAGCAGAGATTCATGGCCAACTGCTTAGTTACACTAGCTGGAACTGGCAAAGTTCCTGGTTCAGTGAGATTCTGTTTCCATAAAGTAGAGCTATATCAAGGATGACACCTGATGTCAACCTCTGAATTCCACATGCATGAGTACCCATACACGTACTCATGCTGTAGTTAATGTCAGGCTGACCGGATTTAAAAATCACCTCATAGATGGGCCTCTAGGCATGCGTATGAGGGATTATTTTGATCGTGTTAACTGAGGTGGGAAGACCCATACACTATGGATGGTACCATTCCCTGGCTGGGATCCTGGACTTCATAAACAGAGGAAGGGAGCTGAGTAGCAGCAGGACTCATTGGCTGTGGATACAATGTGACCAGATGCTTCAAGTTTCAGATCCTGTGAAACCTCCCACCATGATGGACCATAACTTGGAACTGTGAGCCAGAATAAATCCTCCCTTAAGTTGCTTTTACGAGTATTTTATTACAACAGAGAAATAAATAAGACACACAACCTCCACACACACACACACACATGAAAGAAAAAAAGTAGGAAATTCAGAATAGAGCTTATTTGAAATTGAGACAGTGACATAGCACATAGGGAACATTTATGGCATTAATAATATTTTTCTGTAATAAACAAATCAGGCAATTTGGAATATGGAGTTACAACAGTGGTTTTTCCTCTTCTCATCTCTTACCTGAATCAATACTGAGGACATCATCATCTTCATCAGGAATCTCAATTATTTCTGTAGGCTGGAAAGCTTCATCATCAGAACTACTGTCATGATACTGTAGTCCCAGCTTAGAGTAGAAGTCCTTCACCAAAGACTCACAATTAGTCACTGCCCTAATGTTGGAACACATAGAAAAGGTCAGTCAGCAAAGGAAGCAGAGGAGTTAAGAGTCATTAGAATTAGAAATTTGACTTATCTCAAATTTCCCTACATGTTCCAAAGGGTCTATTTATATACATTTAAATGTATATACATTTAAATATTGCTAAGTGTGATAGCTCACACCTGTAAACCTAGTACTTAGGAGGCTGAGGCAAGAGGACTACCTTAAGTTTGAGGTCACCTTGGACAGTATACGGAGTTTAAGGACAGCCTGGCCTACAGAGTGAGAACCTGTTTCAAAAAACAGTAATAAGAAATTATATATATTTAAGCATAGACTGTTCTCAAATCTCCCTACATGTTCCAAAGAGTCTATTTAGAATGTTTTCCCAATTGAATGTTTTCAATGGTGGCTTGGTTTCCCAACTAGTTTCTCACACGTAAGCCCAAAGTACAGTACTTTCATTATTTACCTTGTTATTTGAAATTGCAGTGACAACCAGAAATAGACCTTGGGGGTGTGGGGGGGATAATGTTCCACAGTTAAAGACAGCAATTTGGGCGGAGGGCGGGGGGGAACCTGGGGATATGGTTCTACTGGCAGAGTGACTAGCAGGTATAAAGCCCTTGGTTCTATTCCTGGCATCACATAAACTGGGCATGGTGGTGTATACCCTTAGTTCCAGCACTCAAGAGACAGAAGCAGGTGGATCTCTGTGAGATAGAGGCCAACCTGGTCTACATAGCAAGTATCAGGCTGGTTGGTTGGATACACAGGGGAGACCTGTCTTAAAAAATAGCCAACACAAAACAAAACAAAAAGGTAGAGAGGAAAGATCAGAATCAAGGTCATCCTCAGTTATATAGCAAGTTCTAGGCCAACCTGGTACTGGGGAGACCCTGTCTCAAAAATTAAGAAAACAAGGGTCTGGAGAGATGGCTCAGCGGTTAAGAACACTGGTTGTTCTTGCAGAAGACCTGGGTTCGAATCCCAGGACCCACATGACAGCTAACAACTGTCCATAACTCCAGTCCCAGGGGATCCAACAGCCTCTTCTGATCCCCTCTGGCATTGCACGACACAGGTGTACTTACCTACATGCAAGCAATACATGCATACACATAAAATAAAAATAATAAAGCTGGGCCTGTAGTCCCAGCACTTGGGAGGCAGAGGCAGGCGGATCTCTGTGAGTTCAAGGCCAGCCTGGTCTACATAGTGAGTTCCAGGACAGCTGGGGCTACAGGGAGACCCTGCTTCAAAAAGACCAAAAAGAAAAAAAGAAAAAAAGAAAACAGAACTCTCCAATCCTCACATCTTGAGTGATCTTACTAGAGAAAAGAAATAACTGTTCTAAAGTACAGTATGGGAATACTGTGATGTCATGAACAATAACTCTAAAATGTCTGTGGACATGTATCTACTTCCTATTAATCCTTACCTGGATGCATCATCAAACAGCTGGTCAACATGAGCCACTTCAGACTCTTTCTGTAGCACCCATGTCTCCAACTCTGCTAGCTGCTTCTTGCGTTGCTGTATACAATCCATCTTCTCCAGTTCTTCATCAATGAGCTGCCGAAGTTCTTCCATAGAGATACCCAGCTCTTCAACCACTGCCTTTTGCAGCTCTGCAATCTCTTCAGATTCCACTGCAGCTGTTGCTGCATCCAAATTAATGCACCCAGGGAGGGAGGACATACTTTCAACCTGTGTAGATCAATGAAGTAAAATGACTTTGCAATCACTATATCCTTAATAGAGATTTTTCAGTCTCATAATAAAACTCCTACCCTGCAACCTCTTATTCAAACAGTCTGTTCTCTTTCCTCCTGAATGTCATCCTGAGATTTGGTGACATTCCCACCTTCTGATAGTAACTAACAGGCCTGAAAGGCTTTAAAAGTTTGAGAGAACTTGCAGAAGCATAAACTAACAGGGAACTATTAAAAATGTTTCAGGAAACTGAAGAGTATCTACCTACAAAGAAAGATATTTCTGTGATTTAATGTGTTCCTTACTTAACTAATAGTACAAAGAATCATTGTCTCCTCACTGCCTAATCTGAAGTACCAAGTCCACCTCAAGAGAGTTGATCTAGAATCAACTAATTTGATGTTTTCTTTTTAATTAAAAAAAATTTTTGTCGGGCATGGTGGCGCACGCCTGTAATACCAGTACTTGGGAGGCAGAGGCAGGTGGATCTCTGTGAGTTCAAGGGCCTGGTCTACATAACCAGTTCCAGGATAGCTGGGGCTACAGGGAGACCCTGTCTCAAAAAGACGAAAAACAAAAAACAAAAAAAAATTTATTTTATGTGTATGAATGTATTGTCTGCATGTGTGTAAGTGCACCCCTGTCCACCCTTTTCATATTTAAGCATACAAAAGCCGCAGAAAAAAAAAAAACAACGCGTTCTGGAATAAACTGTGACCACCTAACATTCATAATCCAAATAACGCATACACTCGTCTAGACGCCTCTCCTGAAGGGACGGCACCAAAGCTGACAAGAAACGCCCTGCAGCTCTGGGGCCCACCCGCGCCCACTTGAGTGTCCCAGAGCCCATTCCGCGCGGCCCCGGCCCCGGCCCCGCTCCCTCTCCCTCTCCAAGTTTCTCCACGCTGTTGTTCGACCTCCTCCCACAAACAAAACAGCCCAGCTTCACCTCCGGTGTCCGCATACCTCACTCGGTACTCCACACACCTCCCTGCTGCCCCCGACCAGGGATGTTTTTCACCAGCTAGAACCCACGCTTCGACTCGGGTGGGCTTCGAAGCCAAACACACGAACTGCTGGCACAGGGAGCGGGGGAGGGGAAGCAGCGTGAGGGAGACAAGGGGAAAGCAAAAGGAAGTCCCGGAAGCAGATCGCAAGCGCCTTTCCGGCCAGGGAGACGGTAGCAAAAGCGGGTCAAAATTCAAAGCCTAGCGGTACTGGTTACAAATTGTAAAAAGCTAAGGAGATTGCGCATGCGTCAAGCAGGGCATTCCAGGGCACCTAGGAGAAGCGAATGATTGGGAAAGTAGGCCTTGTTAGGAATATTTTACATAAACTCGTCCCATTAGGGTTCACAATTGTTAATTTACTGTGTGCTCTTAAAAAATATTCTAAAATTTAAGCCGGACTTGGTGGCGCCCGCCTTTAATTCCAGCACTCCGGAGGCAGAGGCAGGTGTATCTCTGAGTTTGAGGCCAGTCTGGTCTACATAGAATTCAGGCCAGCTGGGGCTACAGGGAAATCCTGTGTCAAAAAGACCAGAAAAAAAAAAAAAAAAAAAAAAAAGGTTTATTTAGGAACTGAGAGATGATGGCTCAGTGGTTAAGAACACTGGCTGCTCTTGCAGAGGTCACGGGTTTGGTTCCCAGCACTCATTTGGCAGCTAAATTCAATGCCCTTTTCTGACCTCTGTGGGCATTGCACTTACATACTTACATGCAGGCAATACACTCATACACATAAAATAATAAGTAAAAAATTTTTTTTCTTGGTCTTTTTGAGACAGGGTCTCCCTACAGCCCCAGCTGGCCTGGAACTCACTATGTAGACTAGGCTGGCCAGGATCCCACAGTGATCTGCCTGCCTTGGCCTCCCTCCTGAGTACTAGGAATAAAGGTGTCTGGCCACCACACCCAGCTGTTGTTTTTGAGACTGGAACTCTCTATGTAGACCAGGCTGGCCGTGAACTCACAGAGATCTGCCTGTGTCTTCCTCCCAAGTGCTGGGATTAAAGGTATGAACCACCATTCCTGGCTTATTTATACATACATACGTACATACATACATACATACATATGTATATCTATTTTTTAAATTCTCTATATGCTTGTGTATCTGTGTGGAAGTATGTAGGTGTGAGTACAAGTACCTACGGAGGCAAGAAGAGGTTGTTGGATCCCCTGAAGCTGGAGTTACAAAATGTTGTGGGTAACCTGATGTGGGTGCTGGGAACATAATTCTTGTCTTCTTCTAGAGGAGTGTGGACTCTTAAGCCCTGAGCAATCTCTCTAGCTCCTATTCATTGTGTTTTTTTTTTTGTTTTGTTTTGTTTTTTTTTTTTGGTTTTTGAAACAAGGTCTTGCCATGTAGCCCAAACTGGCCTGGTACTTAATATATAGCTCAGGCTGCCCTCAAATTTGCCATCCTTCTGCCTCAGCCTCCTGAATGGTGTGGACCAACATGCTGGGTTTAAGTTCATTTACTATATTAAGCCTTAGTTGGCAAAACTCACTTTTTAATTTTGTTCTCTACATTTTATTTGTTTGTTTTTACTACATAACTTATACAAATTATAAAGGATATCAAAATATTTCAACATATATATTATAAAAGGAAGAGTTTATTTAGCTTCTTTACTGTGTGCCAGATAACCTTTCTTGGGCTGGTACCTCTCTCTATATGCAGTTCTCCATGGCAAATGTGTTACAGCTCTGGCATCTTGAATGTGTTCTTGGGGTCTGCACTCCCAACCAGGCTTTATCTTTCCAGTTTCACATAATGACCTATCCAGGGCCTCTTGGCCTGTCAGGGCCTTCTTTAGGAGGGACACCCGTGCTGCTCGCTGCCTGGCCTCAGTGGCTCTCTGACACTTTTGAGGAAGAACCGATGACCCCTTCACTCTTACACTTTTTATGCCAGCACCAGGTGAAGGACATTGCCAAGTTTGGTTGTAAATTTGGGATGGACCTTGGCCTGCTTCATTCACTTTTGAAACTTTTCTTTGCAGCATTTTCCCTTCACAAGTTGGAGTCTTGCCCTGGAGGTACTCTCTCCATTGTTTCAGTGCAAATATCTAGGTTTTTCCTTAATCACTTGGGATCCTCTCCTTCAGCACACATCTTGGCTCCCAACATTAATCTTACTAGTGCTCTTTTTTCAATCCAAACTGTACATTCTGCATTTCTTTCTGCCCCATTTGCTCTTTTTCACTATAGACCTGCATAATATTCACCATTAATAGCCACGAGACCAGAGACCATTTCTGTGTTACGCTCCCTTGAAAGATCCTCCACCAAAGAACTTAGTCCATTGCTTTCCAATGTAGCCTCAGGCAAGCATTTTGACTGTGGGAAGATGCCAGCCAGATTCTTTGTCAAAATATTCCAATTGTTGCTTAAGTCCTTATTTCCCTCTGGAACTACATTATTCTCAACACTATTTTCTTTCACGGACCTACTCGAATGGCCTGCTTTTAACTCTGCTTACAGTAACCAACTGCAGCCAAGTGTGGTGGCACATACCTTTAATCCCAGCACTCTGGAGGCAGAAGCAGGCGGGTCTCTGTGAGTTCAAGGCCAGCCTAGTCTTCATTGTGAGTTCTAGGCCAGCTGGGACTACAGGGAGACCCTGTCTCAAAAAGACAAAACCAAAACAAACAAACAAAAAAGAGTAATCAACTGCTTTTCTGGTCTAAACTTCCAAAGTCTTCCACATTCCTCCAAAAACCCACATGGTGAGGTTCTTCACACCAACAGCCCACTCTTTGATACCAATAATTGTATTACTCAATTTTCTGTTGCTGTGATAGAAAAACTATAACCAAGGGAACTTATAAATGGAAGAGTTTATTTAGCTTATAGTTCCAAAGGGGTGAGTCCATCATGGTGGGGAGGCATGGTGACAGAGGTGACTGGATTAGGAATAGAAGCTAAGCTCTTATATCTTCAAGCAGGCACAGGAAGCAGAGAGAGCTATATCAATATATTGTAGCTGGGTATGGTGGTATATTCCTTGAATCCCAGCACTCTAGAGGCAGAGACAGGCAGATCTTTGTGAGATGGCGACCAATCTGGTCCACATAATTCCAGGTCAGCTGGGGCTACAGAGAGACCCTGTCTCAAAAAAAAAAAAAATATATATATATATAAATTGTAAGAACCATGTGGTAACACCCCCTGTCCCATCACCATCCTGCTCCTTTGAGGTAAAACAACTGAGCTTTCTAGGGTTGTAATGTAAAATTGCCTTGGGAGGTAGAGGCAGGTGGATCTCTGTGAGTTCAAGGGAGTCTCTCTCTCTCTCTCTCTCTCTCTCTCTCTCTCTCTCTCCTGTGCTGGTGCTCAGAATCTCGGCCTTATACAATAAGTACTCTGCCACTGAGCTATATTTCCAGTCCTAAAACTTGTCTTTTTGACAGCTGCAAGGTACTTGATAGTATGGTTATGCCATATTTAGAAATAATAAAGAATACAAAAACCTGATATTTAAAAAAAGATTTATTTTGGCTGGGCACTTGGAAGGCAGAGGCAGGCAGATCTTTGTGAGTTCAAGGCCAGCCTGGTCTACATAGTGAGTTCAGGTCAGCTGGGACTACAGGGAGACCCTGTCTCAAAAAGACAAAAAAAAGATTTATTTTTAGTGTGCATTTGTGTGTGTGTGTGTGTGTATGTGTATGTGTCTGTCTGTCTGTCTGTGTCTGTGTCTCTGTGTAAATGTATGCCGCATGTTCAATCGAGTGCCTGCAGAGGCCAGAAGAGGGCATTGAATTCCTTGGAGCTAAAGTTACAAGTAGTTGTGAACTGTCTGACAAGGGTGCTGGCATCCAAGCTCAGGTCCTCTAAGATTAGTAAGAGCCCTTAATACTGAGCCATCTTTCCAGCCCTTTTTTTGTTGTTGCTGTTGTTGTTTTTTTTGTTTCTGTTTTTGAGACAGGGTCTCACTATGTAGCCTTGGCTGGCCTTGGACTCTCTGTGTATACTAGGCTGGCCTTGAACTCTGCCTTTGGAGTGCTGAACTAAAGGTGAGTACACCACACTCAGCCTTGTTTTTATTTTTGTTTTGTGCTTCTTTTTTTTTTTGAGACAGGGCTTGTTTTGTACTCTAGGCTGTCCTAGAACTAGAAATGTAGTCCAGGCTGGCCTCAACATGATAGTCCTCCAGAGTCAGTCTCCTGGGATGGAATTGTTATCATGAAAACAAATGTGGGGCTGGAGAGATGCCTCAGCGGTTAAGAACACTGGTTGTTCTTGCAGAAGACCCGAGTTCAAATCCCAGCACCCACATGGCAGCTAACAACTGTCCGTAACTCCAGTCCCAGGGGATCTGACAGCCTCTTCTGACCTCTGTGGGCATTGCATGACATGGGTGCACTTACCTACATGCAGGCAATACACACATACACATAAAAATAATAAATAAAAAAAGAAAACAAATGTTAAGGATAAAACAAGTGTTAGGCTTAAATGAATATTAAAATGTTAGGGTTAAAACAAGGTTAGCTGGGCATGGTGATGCATGCCTTTAGTCCCAGCAGAGACAAGCAGAACTTTGTGAGTTTGAGGCCAGGCTGGGCTACATAGTGAGTTTCAGAGGAGCTGGGGCTATAAGGAGATCCTGTCTCAAAAAGATCAACTAACCAAATAAGCAAAAACCTCCAGAAAAACAAAACCCAGCATGGTCAGGGACACCATGGATGAGAAATAAAAGGGCTTGCAGGAAGGTATAAGATAGTCCAGCTGACCAGATGACAGGGAGGCAAGGTACTGGGAAAAACAATGGGGCCAGTCTTGGCAGGTGACTGCTTTCAGGGTGTCTACCATGAGTGACATATGCAAGGCATTGTGCCCCTTCATGTATTTCATCAAATGTATCTAATTGCAACAGACTAAATTATAAGAATGGTGTCTAAGAAAGCCTTCACCTAAGCTGAAGAGATGGCTCAGTGGTTGAGATACTTGCTGCTCAGTCATGAGAACTAGCTGTGTAGCCTCACCTTTAATCCCAGCACTCTGGAGGCACAGGGGGTTTGTCTATGTGAATTTGAGGCCAGCCTGGTCTACATAGTGAGTTCCAAGCCAACTGGGGCTATAGGGAGACATAATATATGTATATATATTCTAAAAATAAAAAGAATAAATAGAAT